CAGTCGTCACTGCGGTCTGTCCTCAGAGAGAGCGATGGGTCCCTCCAGCTGCAGCATGCGTGGCCGGAGAGATCCCCGCTCACCTCTTCCACCCTCCCCGGCTCTGCCAGCAAGGTTGCCACGGCCTATGCCACCTCTCTCCTGGCCCCGCACCCCCTCTGAGGGCCGATCCCCCCATTTTCGATGCTCAGTGGAAGGATCCCTTGGGTATCCTGGTGTGCTGTGCAAAGTCACCTGTGCTTATAGAAGTGTGAATGGTTGGACACGGAAGGGGAAAGAAAAAAGGAACGATTCGGGCTGCCATGGGGTGACTTCACTCATAGCCGCAGTCTTCGTGAGAGCTTATTTTGTCTAAATATAGCTACCCCAGATTTGTTGTTGTTGTTTGGTTTCCATTTGCATGGGATATCTTTTTCCATCCCTTCACTTTTCATTCTGTTTCCTTAGATCTGAAGTGAGTCTCTCGTAGGCAGCATATAGATGGGTCTTGTTTTTTTCTATCCATTCAGCCACTCTGTCTTTCGGTTGGAGAATTTACATTTAAACGAAGTATTAATAGTTTTGTACTTATCTGGCTGTTTTCTGGCTGTTTTGCACTTCTTCTGTTTCTTCTGGCTCTCTTTGTTTGTGATTTGATGATTTTCTATTGTGTTATGCTTAGGTTCCTTTCTTTTTATCTTTTGTGTATCCACTACACTGTTAAGCTTTGTTGTTACCTATGGTTGTTACCTAGGCTTACAAAGAGCAACCCATATTTATTAGTCTGTTTTAAGTTTATAACTTAAGTTTCAGTCCATTCCAAAGCTTTACACCCCCAACTCATTTTATATTTTTGATGTTACATTTTATATCCTTTTATATTGTATATCCTTTAATTACTGGAGTTACAATTATTATTATTTTTTACCTTTTGTCTTTTAACCTTTATACTGGTTTTAGGTGACTGACTGGGTTGGCCAAAAAGCCCATTGCATTTTTTCCATAAAATAAGACATTTTTCACTTTCACCAATAACTTTACTGATTTGGATATTGTGAGTACGCAGGCTACCTCCCGCTATTGGCATCTAGTTGGGTAGAGGCCAGGGGCGCTGCTACACATCTTCCAATGCACAACACAGCGCCACAGCAAAGAACTATTTGGCCAAAAGGTCAATAGTACAAGAAACTTCTCAAACCACTTTTGATGCGTCCGATCCATCAACTTTCTCCATAAACTGCACAGATCTTTTTGTGTTTCAGTTGCATTTTTACCTTTCTTGAAATAATGCAGCATTTTCAGCATATTATGTTTTATATTTTCTTCCATCTTCAGCATTAAAATGTCTGCACAAAATTTCACCAACTTGGATACATTTTGTTTTAAATGAAGGCTGATATGACAGCTGTCACAATACAATCTAACCGAATTGTTTCAAATGAAGTTAAAGACAACTAAACACTACTAGAGCCATTGTACAGAAAAAACTTTACCGACGTTTTAGCCAATCTAATATGTACGTTTACCAGTTATTTGTATTTGTATTTCAAATGTTTTCCTGTAATTAACTAGCACCCTTTCATTTAACCTTCAAGAAGTCCCTTTAACATTCCTTGCAAGGCCAATTTAGTGCGGATGAACTCCTTTAGCTTTTGCTTGTCTGGGAAACTCGCTTTCTCCTTCAGTTCTGAATGACAACGTTGCTGGGTAGAGTATTCTTGGTGGGAAGTTTTATTTTCTTTCAGCACTTTGAATGTATTCTACCTTCTGGCCTGCAAAATTTCTGCTAAAAAATCTGCTGATAGTCTTATGGGAGTTCCCTTGTACATAAGAATTGTTTTTATCTTACTACTTTTGAGATTGTCTCCTTGTCTTTGCTTTTGAGATTGTCTCCTTGTCTTTGACTTTTTGATTATAATGTTTAATTTAATTAGTGTGGGTCTCTTTGGGTTCATCTCATTTGGAACTTTCGGGGCTTTCTGGATCTGGATGTCTGTTTCCTTCCCCAAGTTAGGGAAGCTTTCAGCCGTCCATTCTTCATTTAGTTTTTTCCCTCATTTTCTCTTCTCCTTCTGGGACCCCTATAATGCAAATGTTGGCCTTAAGCTATGTTCATTTTATTTTCCATTCCTTTTTCTTTTTGTTATTCTGATTGAGTTCCACTGCCATCTTCTGATCCTTTCTTCTTCATCTGGTGGGGCTGTTGAACCCCTCCTGCATATATTTCAGTTCAATTATTGTATTCTTCAGCTCTGTGACTTCTACTTGTCTCTGTCTCTGTTGAAGTTCTGCATTTGCCCATTCTTCTCCTTTGTGGGTCTCATGGAATTTGATGAGCATCTTTATGACCGTTATTTTGAATGCTTTATGAGGTAAATCACTTATCTCCATTTCATTATGGACCTTTTATGTGGTTTTATCTTCTTTTGTTTGGAACACATTCCTCTTTCTTCATTTTCTTGGATACTTTGTGTTGGTTTCCATGCTTTAGATGAAACAGCCACCCCTTCCAGGCTTGAAGAAGGGGCCTTATGGAGGAGGTGAAACTTATCATTCAACCTTGTCCTAGATCTTGGTTGTCTCTCAAAACTTTGTGATTGTCCACGCAGCAACTGAATCTTAGGGGCTCCCCCAGTGGTCGAGGGTGTACTGAGATCTGTCAGTGTTCCAAAGGGGAGGGGCTCTCAGTCAGCACCTAGGTTCAGGCTGCATGGAAGCCAGACCCTCAGAGAACAGCTTTTAAATGATGCAAATATATAGTTATGTGGGGCCACAAGGGTTAAGTCCCAGGTGATCTAGAGGTGTCCCCTGGGAGCAGCTGCAACTATTGGGCACCAGAGGAGGATGCAAGCTCCTTCCCAGGAGGCACTGGCAAGCCGGAGTGGAGCAGTGGGTGAGCGCAAAGATGGCACCGCTGGCGGGAGCAACGGCGGGAGCAAAGGCAGCACCCATCAGCCTCTGTCCCTGGTAAGTAATTCCGCAGGCCCTGGGTGTGTGCTAAATTAGATGCCTGTCCTTCATGCTGACACTTAAGCCATTTAATTCTTTCATAGAAAGTCTAGGAGCCTCTCAATCCGCTGCCTCTGCGCTGGGCTCTAGGGCTGTTGAGTCCAAGCGTGCAAGCTGTTTAATGAAGGACCACTTCATCAGTTCACTATAGCTTTGTAGGTCTCATCGATGTGAGCCTTGGTGGCTTTCAAAGCCAGATGTTTTGAGGCCTTGTCTCTCAGGCGCAGCTCTTACAAGTTGGGGTGCCCAATGGGGGCTTCAAACTTAGTTCTTTAGGGAGAAGCTCTGGGTTTTGAATTGTCCCCGATGGCTGGTTGCCACACTGGGGGTAAGGTTTATGGCAATATTGTGTCTCGGCCTCTCCAACCTGTTTTGATGTGGGTTTTTTTCCCTCATTTGCAAATGAGTAAGAGTCACTCAGCTAGTTTCTGGATTTTTTTTTCCCCCCAGAGGAAATTGTTTCACTTACAGATTTAGTGTGTCCATGGAAGGAGGTTAGTTCAGGCTCTTCCTATGTTACCATCTTGAACTGGGACTATTTTGTTTTAAAGAGCTTTGATGTAGCTAGACAATTGTTTTTAAAGTTGTACCGTTAATTTCTCATTATAGTTAGGGGATCATAGTAATAACCACCTGATCATGTGTTCTAAGAACTGGAAGGAATCCAGAAACTGTGTAATCCAACTTCCATTCCTTTCCTGACCACAGTTTGAATAATTTTTAATAATGCTCCCAACTGTTCTGTTCCATTAATGCCCAATTCTAAGAAACTGGAAGCTATTCATTGGCCTTAGTTTTACTCTCTAGAACAACATGAAAAATTATATACTAATAGCCTTCCCTCCCATGTGGTGTCAAATTAATATTTTGGATCATAGAAATGCTAAGATCTTCCCTAATTCTGTATACTACCTACTGCTATATTCTAAAACTTATATAAACCACATTCTCTGGTGGTGCTGTCCCTGCCTTTTAAAATGTCTCAGTTTGCAGAAGTTCTTATAATGAATAGCATATCATAATCAAATTTTTTCCTTAATGATACACAAAGTCATGGTTTATTTTATAATTGATGGTCATGTAGAGTTAATGAAATGAAGTATATGAACTCGTACTGTCAACGTGTTATCCAAGTAAAAATGTTCAGTTGGAAGTGGTGGCCTGGGTCTTTAGAGAGGTGAAGGTGGGAAAGGCATCCGCCCAGGCCACCGTTCCCCACACTCTCAGTCACATCCCAGCACGAAGTCCAAGGCCCCAAAGCATGTGGAGAGATCAATGAAACTAGGGAGGAATTAATGATACAGCAACCAGCATGTCATTGCTGATCTCAGGCAGAGCTTAAAAAGAAGAAGAAAACTCAGATCTTTTGAGGATGGGGATAGGGTGGTAGGCAGAAGGGCTTCTACGTTTGAATGGTGTTTTTAAAGTGGTGAAAGAACTTAAACATACTTATTATAAGGAGAAAAACTGAGCTGGAGAGAGTGAAGATTTTGGAGAGAGTGGGTTATTGACTGCTGAGAGAGAGGGAAGACATGGAGAGGGGAGAAGGTCTGTCAGTGGGGAACTGGGAAGAGGACCTTAGGGGTTTTCTGCCGGGAGGCCTCAATTTTTCTCTTTGAAGTAGAAGACAAGGCCATCTGCAGATAGTCAAGGAATGTGCTGGAAGGGAAGAGGTCAGCACAGACAGCTTAGCTGACATTGGGCACGACCAATTACAATGGTCTCATCAGTATTTTGTGCAATGTTCTCTAGATCAGCATAGGACCCTGGTGGTGTTTTAACAATTGCATCCAGAATGTTCATTTAGAGTTTTAAAGTACCAGTTAGTTAAAAAAAAAAAAGTCTTTAAAACTTCAATTTATTTACCAAGACAGGCTAGGGGATAGATAGTGTTTAATGCTTAAATTATTTTATTCTAAATAGATTCTAATAAAATTAAATGACTAAGAGGATAAATGCCACCTTATGTAATTGCTAAACTAATTTGCAGTATATTCAACAGCTCTCTTTACCTTTGCAGAATTCTTTGCTTTCCCCTTATTCTTGGGTGCTTTGGAGATGGAAGCAGTCTTGTCTTTGTCCTAAAGCAAAGGAAAGGTAATAAAGCTATCATTAATCCATCTAGCAATTAGGGTTATTGGCTGCAATTAATCAATTCAGACTCTTCTTTTTAGTCGCCTGGAGACCTCCAATTTCATTAAATAATGGAAAACTTTGGGTGTTTTAGTCACAATTTTTTGAACAATGGTGAATGTACACAGAAGTGATTAAGGTAGGAGGTAAAAAGGATAAAAATGAGGGAAATGTGGGTCACAGTGATGTTCTGCCAATTTCCATGATGCATGATTCACCCAGTCCATATTTTCCTTACCAAAACAGAGCTTGTTTCTCTTGGGATTGGTTTTTACATTCCATAGATTAAGAATGGGATGTTGTTTTCAATGTTATAGGAGAGAAATGTAACAAAAGACAACCACAGACAGCTGGGCAAGTCATACATAAAAATAAAGCCCACTCACCAAAAAGGCATTAATCATGAGTTTCCAGGGGTAAGAAATCAGATGTGAGGAAGACTAGAAATTAAGTCATCCAGCAGGGGAAGGACTGGCAATTCAGTGATTAAGAGATATGATTAATAACAGCCAAAGCAATAGCAAACTGAGATCTATACTATTAATTCTTCTGAAAATAACAAGGGTATAATTTATAGGTAAAATGCCACACATACTTGTTGAGTTATACATTATTTTTTTTCTTTCATTAATAATCACATTTTAAGCATCTGCTATATACCAGACATCCTGCTAATCTGAGCAGGGAGGTAAAAGACACATCACTCCTGTATAAAGTACACAGCTCAGTGGTGTTCTACACATTTGACTCTAGGTAACCCGGGTGGCAGGGAAGGAGAGGCTTCCAACTGTGGCCTGGGAAGAGAGAGGCGGTAAGAGAAGTCTTCCTGAAGGAGCTGATGGTGGAACTGGGTCCTGAGGGAGGGGAAGGAAAACCCAGGTCAGTGGGAACAAGAGGGTGACGTGGAATAAGGGGCCCCTTTCATTTTAAATGAACACACACAAAGCATATTGTTGCATGGCAATAAAGTGTGGCAATCAAGAACGGACCTGGAAAAACATGAAGAAATGTTAAGAAATGTATTATATGGACTCTAATGTATTATATGGACTCTAAGTACAACTACGTAAATACATACATATGAAAAGAGACAAGAAATGTACTAATTAGTGTTTGTGGAGTAGCAGAATTATATGCGTATATGAATTGGGTGTTCATGTATGTATATACAAAGAGTAAATATGAAAAAGCAAAGTACCTTTGCTGGGTCCTCTGAGGTTTCTGTAGTTGGAGGATAGCAGTCCAAATCCCCTGAGAGGGCATCAATGGGGTCTTGATCATCTGTGGGTTTCTGAGGTATTAACAGAAGTAACTGTCAGTGAAGAAACACAAGGCAAAAATGCCATATAGTACCTTTCCCCACATCACTGAAAATAAAAGATGTTTATTAAAAAAACTTGCTGACATTCTTTTCCTCACAAAGTAATCTATTATAAAAGAGATAGTAAAACAGGAAAACAGTAACAGCTTTTTTTTTATTCTATTCTTCTATACAAGTTGCTTAGTATTCTCTGAGCCTTGATTTCCAAATATGGAAAATGGAACTGCCTATTTTGGAGGGTTCTTTGGAAGACTGAAAGAAAAATAATACATATACTCTTAAATGCAGTTGGCATCATACTAAGCACAAGGTAGGCATTCAATAAACTTTAGATTTCTAAATTGCATGAGTTGCAGCTAGAATAAAAAGTTTATAGAAACACGCAGCTGTGGTATTTACCTTTGATTCCTTGGGTTTCTCTGTAGGGGACGCCACTGGTTTGGTCTTAAAAAGAAAGCATACCACTGGTTAGACACAATTTTTTGTAAAGGTTTACTTAGGTGGTCAGCATTTATATAACCTTTGTATATTATCCAATTACTTGACTTGGGGAATACATATTTGCAACAACAAATTAACCTGGGTCCCTACTATTTCTCCACCATCTTTGCTTAAGTACCACCCTATCACTATTTCAATATCCCTGGGGGAAATACAGGAGTGAAAGCCTGGTCCTGGAAGTGAAAGAAACACTAATTTTTTAGGAACTTTCTACCATCATGTTAAATTCTACTTAAAATATTACAAAAAGTAACTTGTGTTTTTATGTCTTATTTACTAGTGTTTTATGTCCTATTTATTATAGCTTATTAAATTTCAGAGGGATTTGAGGCACTGGAACAGTCTACACATGTATTAAGGTTTTTTGTTTTTTGTTTTTGTTTTTTCCAGTCAGGATTATGAGTACAACCCATCAGGGATTTTTCCCATCTACAAAGTCAAGGACATTAAATAATACATTTCCCTAGGAACACACGCAGGGTCAGGTGGTACCATCAGAGCAGGGAGGCCTCCAGCAGGGTGCAGAATTGCTCTCTTGAGGAATACCGAATAAAAGCAAGGAGAATTGATTCCTGTACGAGGATACACTCAAGCTGACAATACCATTTAAGTCAAATGAAGCAGTACAGAGAGGATGTAATTTGGACTTCCTTGTTTTTCTTTGATGCAAAGGCCTGATAGAGGGTTATTTATCACCTAATTAACTTATAATGGGAAGGGGTGAGGTACAGGCCAGGCTGACCTAAGAAAAACTGGCTTCCATGTTAGAGACAAAGGCCAGGACTTGTTGACAATATATTTAGGTTTAGAAATAGGACTTGTGATAGAGAATATGGTTTTGCCTGTCGTCACTTCTCAACAGTGTAGGAGAAGGAAGAAAGGGAGACCCCAGTTCTTGGAGGTGCCTTATTTGTCCTATTAATTATTCCAATACTAGCTCCTTTATTGTTCTACTTAAACAGACTCTGCTTTGGTCAGGATTACAAATATCATTCTTTTTTATAGCTTTTTCTTGTAAAAAGAATTCATCTGTGTACGTGCCTTGGAATCATTGTTGAGCATCAGTGAGTGACTGCACATTATTCATCTCTCTTTATGCCATGGGGTCCAGCATAACTAAACAATAAATTGGCTCAAATAAATATTAAATAGAATCCTAGACAGCCTGCTTGACAGGGGCACATTAAAAATCATCACATTACATTTCTATGCTGTTGTTAAAGTGCATATCCTATTCATTTCAAGTGAAGTTTGAATTTAAAAGCTTTGTTGTACACATCTAATCTGGACCTTTGCCTTCACGTACCTTATCATTATCCAAGAGATGTCTGTATTCGGGTGGGATAGTCTCATCTCTTTCTCCCAGCTTGTCTCTATGTTCAGCTTTAGCTTTTTCCTATAAACATTGAATAGGTATAATGAATATTCCTTTCCTCCTTTGCTTATAGGATACATTCTGATATGCAGCACTCAGCATTTATTGTACTTTTCTGAGGCAAAAACATATCTTTATATTTTTTAAGCAAGAGAACAACAAAATGAATGACTTGAACAGGCTATTGGTTGATGAAAAAAGGTAAACACATGTGCTTCTATATGTCAAATTACATCTGTGAATTTTCTACCTGTATTTTAAATGGAAATAAATGATTAGGTAATTATCCTCAGAGACTATGTAAAGAGATAAAACCCAAGGACAAAATATCTGTGAGTTTCTCTTTTCAAATAAAGAAATCAAGTCACTGCAGCTTGGCACTGAGAGGTAACAATAACCACTATTTGTAAGCAACCCTGAAGGACCAGGATGCAGAGCAAATCTGAATGGATGTGCTGGCTGCTTATGTTGCAAGTGAGGAGACACCTGCTGTTAAGGAAGCACCACTTACTGTCCAGCCTCCCCACCTCAGTGGGATGTGGCTGGTCTCCGTCACAAATTCAGTGACACTAATTCTCCCCCCTCCAGAGAGGGAGTGCTTTAGATTTTATTTTTCTGCATCATTTTAATTTCATTTTTCAAATATAGGTTAAGTTCACGTCGATGTTCCTATGATACTGGCAGAATCAAGATGTAACAATTCTTTGAAGTGCCGTCTTTGGAACACCAACTTGGAGGGTCAGTGACTTCCTGACTCCAAGCTAAATGGATTGTTGAATATTGTATGTTGTTAAGTATCAATAAGTCCCTCTACAATTTGTATAAGGTATGGAGAGTTAGCAGTCTGTGCCTTGTAGACACACCTCAGCACAGTGTTGAACCCCTGGTCTAAAGCTCTCCTCCTTTTGGAGTTTGCACGCAGTTAGTTATGAGAGCAGACCAGGCTGCTAGGGAAACCTCTGCCACTACATGCACAGTGTCTGTTAACCTAAAAAAGGCACACATATGGGTATCATATATACGATGTCGTAATTACCAGATAAAACCAAGAAAAGTTAATGTGGGAAGAGAATAAAATTAACAAAGCAGAGCTGTGCTTCTCCATCATAACAAGGTTTGATCTCACAAACAGGACATTTGCCTGAATCTGTGACATAGCATAGCCCTCACTGAGGAAGTGAAGAAATACGAGACCACAGACGGGAAAATACAAGACAAGTTATCCAACTGTTCATTAACTCCTGACAGAGTCAGAGGTGTTCTTTACTTCTTTTTGAGTGGAGGGTAGGGTATTCGATGCTATAAAAAAAAAAATTTAAATTTTCACTTCTTTTCCCCTTTCACCTTGACTTTATCCTTTATTGGTTTGTCCTCATCTGGATCAGGCTGCCTGTGCCCTAGACGGTCAGAAAGTTGATCAAGGGCATCGTCGAGTTCTTTGTTGTCACTCTGTTAAAAAGTAAACCTGAATTAGTCACTGCTGGGCCAAATCAGGTCACCTGCTGGAGTGTGGCCCCCAACACTGCCACTAAGACCTCCACAGGAAGGCACTGGACTGCCGGCCCTCAGACAGTGCCTTTTCTCCCATTCTCCGGCTCTCGGTGACCTCTCTGCTCCTGCCCACACCTGCCACACCCCCAGGTGTCTTTCCCCTTCCAAGAAAACAGGTATCTCCCAAAAAGATGGCATCCCCTGGCCTGATTGTCTTAAGATGCTGGTGACAGTCTCATGTCCCCAGCAATGAAAACTCACATAAATTATTACAGCTTAGTTTCCTCTTTGATTCCCAAGTATATTCATTTAAATAAAGATTATTCTTAGTTTTAATGATGGCTCCAAATAAAATAGTAACTAAAACTAGACCCTCTGATGGAAAAACTGATAAGGTATCATTATAAAACATACTGTGTAAGGCAGATACATGCAAAAAAAGAAACTAGACTACGTTCTAACACTAAAGACTTATATGTGAGCCTTGAAACCATAGAACTGCTAGAAGAAAACACAGGCAGCAAAATCTCTGATATTTCTCTTAGCAATATTTTTCCTGATATATCTCCTCAGGCAAGAGAAACAAATGGGACTATATCAAACAAAAAATTTTTTTCACTGCAAAGGAAACCATCAGTAAAGTGAAAAGACAACCCACTGAATGGAAGAACATATTTCACCAATGATACATCTGATAAGGGATTAATATCCAAAATTTACAAAGAACCCATACAACCCAACACCAAAAAACCCCAAACAATGCAATTCAAAAGTGGACACTTCTCCAAAGAGGACATACAGATGGCCAACAGACATAAGAAAAGATGTTCAATGTCTCTAATCTTTAGAGAACTGCAAAGTAAAACCACAGTGAGATATCACCTCACACCTGTCAGAATGGCTCTCATCAATAAATCACCAAGTGCTGGCGAGGATGCAGAGAAAAGTGAACGTGAGCGCACCGTTGGTGGGAATGGAGATCGGTGCAGCCACTCTCGAAAACAGTATGGAGGTTCCTCAAAAAAATTAAAAATGGAATTGCCTTATGACCCAGTGATTCCACTTCTGAGTATATATTTGAAGAAACCCAAAACATTAATTTGAAAAGATGTATGTGCCCTACGTTCATTATAGCATTATGTACAATAGCGAAGACATGAAAGCAACCCAAGCGCCCAGCAAAAGAACAAAATCTTACCATTTGCAACAGTATGGATGGACCTAGAGGGTATTATGCTATGTGAAATGAGTCAGTCAGAGGAAGACAAATAACCATGTGATTTTACTTATATTTGGAGGAACCTAAAGATCAAAACAAATGAACAAAATTGAAACAGACTCATAAACACCCAGAGCAGATTGATGGGTGCCAGAGGGAAGGAGCATCGGGAGACTGGGTGAAAAAGGTGACAGGATTTAGAAGTACAAATTGGTAGTTACAAAATAGTCCCAGGGACGTGAAGTACAGCACGGGGAATGTAGCCAAAAATCTGGGAATAACTATACATGGCGCCAGGTAGGTACTGGATATATGGCTGGATATATATACTTTGTAAAGTATATGATTGTCTAACCACTATGCTGTGCGCCTCAAACTAATGCAAAATCACATTAAATGTAAAAAGAAAGAAAGAAAGAAAAAGAAAAAGAAAGAGAAAAAAATAAAATCAGGAAACTTTGCTAAAAAAGAAAAAAAAAAGGCTTCTGGTTGCAGGTTGCTACTAACAGCCTCAATCCGGGCATAACCTCTCACCTGAGCATTAAGAACTAAAGTGTAAATGGCAGCCTGGGTTATTAATGTTTCTTCCTTTCTGTTGCACAGGGACTTTCATCATTGTGGTTGTCACACACACACCCAGCATTTTACTAGTTTTAAGTGCTTCTTGAGAGCACAGGATTATAGCTGTTAATGGTGGAGCTGCCCACAGCCGGGTCTGGGCTTTGTCATTTGTGCCTCTGGATATTTTCAGATTCTCCTGAGGCTGACCCAACAGGATGAAAATTCATTCAGAATCTCTGACTACAGCACTCAGTAAGCTTTGATGCTACATCAAAAGCAAAGGAAGCATAGCTGACTTCACTAGAGCTACTTCATCTCCATCTAGCAAACCAGGCACTTCTCGACCATGGGAGACGGGTGTCTGGTTTAGGGCAATCTCTATCTTTTGATGTGCCACGGTCTTCTCGATAATTTCACATTTGGTGCTGCATAGAAAATTAATCAAGGAAGTCTGGCAAAACTTTGATCCCACAGTCTTGCCTCAGAACATGTGAATAATTAAAACAATATTGATGCTGAGGTTTTTCTATTACTAGCATGAAAATGACAAATTTTTATTATGCTATTCCATGATATATTTGTTAATTTGGACAGAAGAAGCTCAAACACCAAACAATTGCATAAAATAATCTTGAGGTTAAATAATGGATAGTGTTTATAGCATGTGCTAAGAAAAATATAAAGAAGGAGAAAATATCAGGAAAGCTAAAATTTTTTTAAATTTTAAAAATCTAATAATTCAAATATATATATACAATGCACACTGCACTTTCAGTTCTAATAAAGCAACAATTTAAGCTTCACAACTATGTATAATATATTTTCACATACATTATTTCATTTAATCATTTTCAATGTTCTGTCATCTCCCTAAATCGCTAGCCTTACTTCTTCTGGAGGTGCCCAACGTTCCTAACAATTTTTGTCTATTTCCACTTATGCTAAGCAGGAATCCTATTTTCTTTTTTCTTGTTGTTGGTGCTGTGAAAATAAATATTTACAAAATATGTTGCTCACCGAATCATCAGGGGGTGGTCCCGCAGATTGGGTGGCTGGAGCTGGGGTTTGGGAAACCAGTTCGGAGACGGCAGCTGAAAGTTTAGCATGTTCAAATGGCTTTTGTTTAAAAAAAAAAAAAAGAAAGAAAAAAAAGGGAGATTTTTCTCATTAATATGTTATATACAAAATTATGTTCACAATGCCATACCTTAAATACAGTTCTTAATATAGCTTTATGATTATTAATTCTCTTGATGCAAATGGACATATAGTGACACAGAATCTTAAGAGCAATTTTGATTCTATTTCTTTTTCCATGGTATTATTTTCCACAATTTCCTATTTCCTATCCCTATTTATTATTCTAAATGTTGTCCAATAAACCATGACAGAGTTTATGGTTTGTTTACACATTTCTTCTTGTACATTTAGGTTTGCAGCTTTTCAGCTTTCTTCTTTGGAATTAGTTGCCCTGAATCAAAGGTCCAGAGGTGGCCCATTTCATGGTTTTAGTGATATTCTGACAAACTGCCCTCTTGGAAGTTGCTAGGGATTCATTCTGCTAAAAGCAATAGATGAGCATACCTGTTTCCCATAGCCTTGCTCACCTAAATCAGGTATCTATCACATATTTTAAATTCTGATAATATATTAGGTATAATGATGTTACTTGCTATATGGTATAAGGTTTGTTTTATTATTTTTTTCTTAATGTTAAATAGCCTATTATTACAGAATATTTTTGAAATAATGATTTTTTCCTTTTATCTTAAAAATACCCCAAAGCTGTCATTTATGTTCATTTCTTGGTTCCTTTTTCCATTAACCTGTAACTTTGCTTCCTGAATCAGAACTGTACTTTTTTTACCATTATTATATAAGAAAGGCCTGTGTTTAGTTAGGTTAACCTTCCCTAAAAAGAGTGAAAGATACTCTTCAGTATTTTTTTTCATATTTTTATGCATTCATTTTTCAAATATATTTCAGAATAATTTTGAGTCTCATAAATTAATTTATTGCTATTTATTTTAATAAAAATATTAAGTTATAAAGTGACCAGAAATAATTGTCATCATTCTTTTAAGACATTTAGTCAAATTGTCTTAGATGTATGGGTTTTAATTTCTTCATGTTCTTGTTTTTCTAATCATTTCTTCTATTGCTATTTTCTTTACATTAAGTCTAACATCTCATTAGATAATTATATTTTCTAATCTGTTACTAAAATATATAGCATACATAATATCTGCAAAGGTGAGAGCAAAAATTTCAGGCAACTCCAAAGAATCATTTTTTTTCCTACTTGTTACCTAGACAACTCCTCAACTGATAGACATTTTCCGTGCCATTGTCCACATAGGATTAAATAACCCAGAACCACCCCACCCAAACACACACACAAATGTTCTGCAGAACTAAGTTTGGAAACTCCAACAGACTTACAGTATGTTTCCCTATAAAAAGTTCTAAAAATGCTACAGTTGAGAAACCTGCTTTTTGTTACCCAACATTTCCCAAACTTTCTAGTAACAGAATTCCCTTTGAGGGACTATCTATTCCACAGGAAGCTTAGGTTTCCCTAGAGGTAATTTGGAAAAGGACCAAATTGTAGAATATCAACTGGTAATGATGTCTAAGAAGTAATTTTAGATAAAGCCAATTTTAAATTCTCTTTGCATAAGTGTACTTAATAGAGTAGGTGCCCGCTGGTTTAATTAGTTACCCTGCTGAAAATATTCACTGTGCTGGAACAATACTTCATGATGCAGCACATTCTCAATGGCTACAGTGGGTTGAGGGCCATTAATGTTGTGACTGTTTCCTTAGCAACCCAGTCAGATTCTAAGTCATAAGTTTCCCCTTATTTCTGCCACTCTACAGGTAAGGAAATAAAACCAAGAGTTTCAGACTTACAAGCGATGCAGTGTTTGGGGGTCTAGTGAAGTCCTTAGACAAGGCATCAAGAAGGAAGTCTTCACTCAAAGGCTGCAAGAACCAGGAAATGAATCAAACACCATCTCATTTGCCTCCTCTTCAAAATGATGTCACTGTTCATATGCTGATCAACTCATTAAAAAGAAAGCTATGCCCTTCCTGAATTACAGTCAGGGCCAAATAAGAAAAATATACTCAGAGAAAACAGGCTTGCTTACTAGAAGCGATTCCTTGGACTCTTTTGGCAGGAGTGGTTTTCCATCTTTGTCCTATCCAGGGAGAGAAAAACATGGCTTTTGAGTCATTTCACATTTATCCTAAGTATGAACCCTTTTGAATATTAGCAGGTAATACCTGATGTTGCTGTACACTATCAATTAGATTCATCATTTCAAAGACAGATTCTCCCCAGAGAATGGCCCTATCTAGTTCACGTACATAACACCTATAACAGGCATTCCCTAGGCACACAGGCTACAAAGCCGACTGGGGATGGCTTGTGACTGCAGAAGCCCGCAAACTAGTGTCATACAACAACGTGTGAACAGCTCACATAGTGCGGACCGTGATGCTGGGGGCGGGGGAGGGCACTTGCTGGATACCGTGCGAGCACAGGGATGAGCCTGGGGGGTGGCGGGCTTTGCAGAAGTTGCCTGGAAAAAGCTGGTTAACTTTATAGGTAACACATCCAATTAATACGCACTGATTCTGTGCCCAGCCCTGCAGTAAACTTTGGGAATACCACAGGAAGTAGGAGACACCAAGTCCCTGCCCTCAGGGAGCTCATCCTCTGGGTGGGATGCTCTGAAACTTATGGCTAAGACGATGCCAAGCTTCTAATGACTCTAAGTGCCACTTTTGAGTAACAGGACAAAATCAAAGAAGTAGTTGTGGCTCTGTAGTAAAAGAAGATTTATAAATATATGGTAAATACCATTTATCCACATACACAAAAATAAAAAAGAAGTACAAGGCCATATACATATATAGTACATATAGTGTATGTTTGTGTGTGTGTGTGTGTGTGTAATATATACATATATTTCTCCTGATAAACTGGTCAAGGTGATTTCTATTTGTTTATTGAAAATGTGAAGAGGTGAAATGGTTTAGAGCAGCGATTTTCATTTTCAACTGGTATGCAGCAGGAATTTTTAAAACATGTTATACCTTACTATTATTCTGAGGCACAGACTTCTTTTTCCCTTAGATTGTCAGATTTAAAAAATGGTAACAGCTCACACAACAATAGCCATCTGGTGTGAATGCCCTGGCTTGAACCATAAAACACACACACACACACACACACACACACACACACACATCATGTAATCGAGTTGCATCTCACTGGTCATATCGCATACTAAGTTTGAGTCTGATAGGTTAATTCTTGCTACCAGAAATCCTTATATACAAGTATAGGCACCCAATTTTTTAAAAAGTCACTGGGAGCAAAAAGAGTAATTACTATTATAACTTTTTGTAAAGCAATAAAAATTATACCTACTTTTTTTGTCAGATTGGCAAAAAATATTTTTAGTGTGCCGTGAATTTTAGTAATTAGTTTATGTGTGGCATGAGATAATAAAAGTTGAAAAGCACTGATTTAGAGTATCACCTGCTTCCCCTTTTTCATCTCAGCAGGTTCACTTGTACACTCTGACTATTCCTCAGTCAGGAGGGAAAGCAGAACCTGGGCTTGTTCTCCACTATTCCTTTTAGCTGCAAAGGCAGCAAATTTCACAAGTGATACATGGGACCATCCGGGACACATCTGCTCCACGTTCAGACTGAATTCACCCCGTGTCTGGAAGGGGAAACTCAGGGAGCTGAAACTCTCTGAAGAGGCCGGATGTGAGCATAGCTGATGAAAAGTAATACAGCTGATCATGAAAAAGAAAAATTGATCAAGCTACCCCCTGTGAAAATGTTATAATAAATAATGTGTGAGGTCAACAAGTTCAGAAGTGGATGAAACTACCACAGAAAAAAGTGGTCAAGAAAGCCAATCGACTGCTTTCTTAGAAACTGCTACTAAAATTCAGCAAAGGAAGAGAGAAAGCAACCAACATTCTACTAGGAAGAGAGTCACCCGCCTCTATGAAATGGGGCGGGGTGAGTAGGGACAGAACATGTGGCCCTTAAGAAGCTCTCCGAAAGCACTGCAACAGCATACACAAGAGCCCAAATTAATAGAAATGCCATGGTTTCAACTGAAGCGTGAAATGCAGAAGCAAGCAGAGTGGTAAACTTTCCATCTGGGAATGCTCAACAGAATTCCTGTCCTTGCCAGTCAAATGGACTAGGGCACATGGGTGAGAAGAGGAGTATCAGTTCGATTTTCCTGAAGTGTTAATGAAGTTGAGTTGAACATCATCTCTGATGGTGTGTTGTGAAGATGGCTGATTCCTGTTCTGTTGTCCACACCTCTGTCCTTGTTCAAGTGGCTGCACTTAAACTACAAGATTCATAACAGGGTCTCCCCTGCGTCACTTGTTCTGAACAATCTGTACATTTGAAATAAAGAAAACAGCACTCTTCCCTTTCCTTCATATCTAAGAGTTGCAAATTTTTCTTCATAGGAAAAAATGGTCCTTCATTTTCCTTTCCCTATCTATATAAAGGTTTTCTAAGTTTTCTTATTTCTGGTATTGCCTTAGATGGGAAAAGTTGGGTAGCTTAGACATTAGGTTTCTTTCACTTCAGGGAGGAATAAAGGGCCAGCCAGGAATATTTTAGCTTCGTATCTGGTGTGCTCACTGGATATTAGTGGACTAACACTGTTTCATGTTTGAAACATTAAGAAACAAGATCTTTATATTCCAGGTTTGCTCCCATGTCCTTTCTTTATTATGTAGAATTCAACATGAATTAAAATCAAGTAGAAAAATACCCCAGCCTATTTACCTTGACCTCTTCTAATCTATAGTCAGGAGGAATTGTTTCTTCTTTTTCACCAAGCTTTTCACGATCCTCTTCTTTGGCTTTCTCCTAAATAGAAATGATACCATTTTCATTGTTAATACATCTTTTCTCCACAGAGTGGATGCCTGAATGACTAAAGTTGTGGTAAATGTATCCGTCATTAGGTTAGAACATATATATGGCCATGTGTGTTGACTTCCAAGATCCCCTTAATCTTTAGCACTGTGTCCTAGTTTAGCTGGCCCACACCCCACCGCCAGGCCTGCGGGGCTAAGAGGAAGCCCTGAGGAGCAACTGCCACTTCTCTCCAGAGTCCTCCGCAACAGGGATGCAGGCAGACAAGGCGAGACTCAGAGCTCTGCTATGTGCATGCTGCCCATCCACTGCTGTGCTCAAATAGGGAGGCTCGCTCGGGCTTAGCTTATTGAGCAGAAGATGCACAGTAACAGAGAAAGCCAGCTGGTTGTGTATTGTGGGAAATTTTTTTTTAAATGACTAACTTATTTGGGGACTGAGGGCGATCAATGATAGTTGCTTTCTAGAAGTATCTGAGCTGCCATTACCTTGACCTTGTCTTCCACAGGCTTGCCCTCTTCCGGATCTGCTTCCCGTTTCCCCAGGCTGCCAGCCAAGGCTTCCACAGCATCATCCGGCACCATGGCCTGCTCAAAGCACATCAGTGGATACACTAAGTAGGTGGTTAATACCTCCTTTCAAAATTTTTTTTTTAATTTACTGATTTGAGAGAGAGAAGAGGTGGGGGGAGGACAGAGAGAGAGAGAGAGAGAGAAAGAGAGAGAGAGAGAGAGAGAGAGAGAGACTGATTTGTTGTTCCACTTATTTATGCATTTATTGGTTGATTCTTTTATGTTCCCTGACCGAGAATCAAACCCACAACCTTGGTGTATTGGGATGACACCTTAACCAAATGGGCTACCTGACCAGGACCAATGTCTCCTTTTAAAGAGACTATATCCAACAATTTAGAAGAGCATATCTTTATATCAGGCCTAGGCATTAGGAGAGCATTACCTTTTAATAATTTAAATTATCAACTGAATTAGAATCTATGTTTAAAAAACCTAAAATGTTAAAAATTAGAGCAAGTTTCTTACATTAAGTGTGTGTAACGGATACACTGGCACTGATAAACAAGATTTAACCATTGCTTTGGTTTGGACATAAGGGAGACAATGGAGTGGGTAAAGCACAGAGAAAGTGACAGCCAGGAAAGAAGAAAGAAGTGATTTTCTGGTGACTGTTCTTCAGGCGGCAAAGGGAACATTTCCAGAAAAGCCCAGGAGAGGACACTCTTTTCAATGTTCGGTGAAACAGCCTGGCACGTCCTGGAGGAGGTGGCCCCTGCGGAGCTCTGCTGAGGTGGAGGAGCCTGTGTCCTCTCGCTGCTTCCGCTGGTCACAGCGGATCCACACCAATGCAGGGGGACGCCTGTGACTGACTAACCTGAGTGGCACAATTACAACCTGGGGTCCAACGGCTCAAAATAAAATGTGCTCCCCTCGTGATGCAGTGAGTTCTGGCCATGCCAGCATTTAAAAAGAAACTGGACGCACACAGAGTGTAAGCAGTGTCAAGGGAAAACAAAGAAGAAACTATGTTTGGGCTAAAAGATAAGACTAGACCTGGCTTCTTCCAAACCACAGGTCATGATCCACATATTATTGGCTCATAAAATCAATTTATAGTTAATGTCCAGGACTTTTTTTAAATGGAAGACTAGAATAGAAAACAACACATCTTACATAACAAAGATAAGTACTACTTATTAAACTGTTGTTTCTACATATGTCATTATTGAAATGAACTGGGTATACATTCTTTATAAAGTCATTCTATTGTCCACAAAATTTGGTCACAGTTGTACATTCGTTTTGTGTAACGAGGTTCTGAACTGTATGGTGTTGGTGCTGACTAAGACTTCTGCATTTTCTTGCATTATTTAATGGTGATGGTTTTCAGTAGATTTCTGTTAATGTTTGCTAACAAATCTCCTAATTTTTATTTTCTTCAGGCACTAAAGCCATCAATTTTTCCCAACTGTAGAAAAATAGAGTACTCAAAGCTTGTAAAAAAAAAAATTGTTTCTATTGTGTGTGTACAAAGTGGTGATACCAATGCATTTCCTACTGTTGGTCAAAAATGTGAAAGCCCCTAAATGAAAGTCTCAAAATTTTATCATAAAAGTCATACTGAGTATATATTGGGATTATAGAGTAAAAGTCTCTTTCTCTTTTACAGCTTGGCCATCATTCCATGTAAGAAAAGTTGTTTTTCTGCTAAGCTGCACTGCAAATACCAACACAGAGGAAAAGCCTGAGTGGAAAGTGATTTATCACCATCTAGTGGTTGGACACTGCATGGACTTGATTTCAAGAGCAACAAAAATTGCTGATGTGTCTCATTTGTTTGGGATTATGTCTAAACTGCAAGAGTTGCAGTGGTTTCTAAGTCTTAGCCAACCAATGAGTTGCTACTTGATCCCAGACACCTGCTCACACTCTCCTTCTGCTTTCTGCTACTCTCTACTGTAGAATCTTTGGAAACCACTGCTTCCCAAGCCTGTGCCATTTGGCTTAAGAAATAAGTGATTTTCAGCCATAAAAAAAGATGAAGTAGTTCCATTTGCGATGCCATGGATGGATATCATGCAATGTGCAGTAAATCAGACAGAAAAAGAACCATATGATTTCATTCATATGTGGGATATAAAACTGAAAGCAATGAATGAACAAACAAGAAAAACAAAACTCTGACAACAGTTTGGTGGCTACCAGAGGGAAGGGGGATTAGTAAAGGGTAAGGGGGGTCAAATATATGGTGACAGAAGAAGACTTGACTTTGGGTGGTAAACACACAAAGCAATATGCAGATGAGGTATCATGGAATTGTATACTTGAAACCTATATGATCTTATTAACCAATGTCACCCCAATAAATTGAATAAAAAAAAGTGAAACAGAAAAGCTCAGAGAAGCAGCAGCAGTCTTAAGAACTAAGGAATCTGGAAACAGGACTAAGGACTAAAACTTCTGTTTCTATAGTATTTCATGTTGTCAGATTCAGAACTAGAACTCGGATCGCTGAATGTTCTCAGTAAACTTTGTTTTTATACAAACCAGAACCCCATAGGGCACACATTCGCCTCCTGCCTCTGGTCTTTGTTACCTTTTGCTCACTAATCCTCGAGGCTTTACTGAGTCCTCTGACCTTTATCACAGTCTGTAGCTATTCTATCGGATGCCCAAGGGTGTCGCAATCCCAGAAATGCCAACTAACCTCAGTGACTGTAACCTTAGCACCCGTGGTAACCACAGCTGGTGGAGCAGAGGCCCAGGAAAGGAGGTCAGAGAATGGAAAAACAGGAGCTCTGTTGTGTCCTGTCCACTAACTATCCAGTGCTTGACTCTACAGTCAGGGTAAAGTTGGGAAGGAACTAACTGGGCCCTCTTAAGGCCCTGGCAGTCACACTTGGCATGAGAAGTAGATGACACATGCTTAGGTCACAAGAGTTCTGCCCTAGAGTGTTGGCTGTTAACCTTTTTTACTTCAATCTCTGCCTCTGTTCCTACATCAGTCTCTTCACCAGTTCTCCCCTCCTTCCTGGTCGTTCCCACTGTGGCCTGAGATCTGGCTCCCCACAATGTAAAGGTTTCTAGAGAGTACCCTGAAACCTCAGAGAAAGGGTGTCAAGTCCTGTGTAAGGCAGGAGAGAGACCCTGGACTTTGAAGGGATTTGCAGTTGGCACCAAGGACTTCCTTGGCAGGAAGCAGCCACTTCAGGGCATCCAGGACACTTGTCCTACACCTTCTTCAAGACCCTCTTTTCCTCAAGCCACTAAATGCCCTTATCCCATGTATACCAAGCACCTCACGCCTCTGGCATCGGCTCACTGGTCTCCCCAGGAAAACAGCGCTGCTCCCTCCTTTCCATGTGTCCATCACCCGGAGGCCTTCCCTAATTCTCCCTGGAGAATGAGGCACCCATGGTCCCTCTGCCCTTTCTCCACATGAGTGATCAAGTCGCGCTGTGAGCTTGAGATCTCCCCCCATATCGACACTAGACTTAAAGGCTAGCTTAGGGCAGGAGCCATGTTTTCAGTTCAGCTGAGGCTCTGAAAGGTTAAGTGAATTGTTCAAGGTCAATTTAGAGGTTCACTTCCCTCATCTATAATAGAGAGATAATCCTGTTTTATTGTGTCCCTGTGAAAATTTAATTAGAAGACATTGTAAAGCATCTAGAACAAGATAGCTATTCAGAGTACAGAGCCATCAAGTCTGTAGTAATGAAACATATTCCATTGATGTTATTCTCTAAGTCAGACTCTATGGGTTAATGAATTCAAAAGGAAGCAAAGGTTCAACTAGTTAAATATCATACTTCATCCAAAAAGATAGAAAGTGAGAGAGAGGCAAGAAATGAAGAAGGGAAGGAATTGAGTCAATCATTTCTTTCAGTTGGGAGTAGGGTGGATCGTGATGATATTGGTGAAGATTTTTCCACCAGGAGAGTCAGGAAAAGGTAATACCAGGCTGTTTGTGGGATTCCAAATAGGCTTAAAAATGCAGGAATGCAAAAAAAAGCATGATTACTGCCAATAGCTGAAGAACTAGAAAGAATTTAAGGTGAGAGAAATGCAGAATATGGCCATGGCTGGTGTGGCTCAGGTGGCTGGAGTGTCCTCCCATAAACTGAAAGGCCTGGGGTTCAGTTCCCGGTCAGGGCACAGGCCTAGGTTGTGGGTTCAGTCCCTGATCAGAGCACCTATGAGACACAACTGATCAGTGTTCTCTCTCACAGTGATGTTTCTCACCCCCTCTTTCTCTCCTTCCCTTCCCCTCTCTCTAAAATCAATAAGCATGTCCCAGGGTGAGGATAAAAGAAAAATTAAATATAGCCTTAATTTGTAGCACACCCTGAAGTCCAGTAGACACTACAGCTATATGATTTTATTGTTTTGTCAGAATAAAAGAACATGTTAGTGCACAGGGCAGACAATGCTCAGGAGGAAGAACATTCCTTTCCCAGGACATTTATCAATGCCCAGAGATCACTCACCGAGGGAGCTGGCTTGGGTGGTGCCGACTGTATACTGCACATGGAGGCCCGAGACACCGCCTCTCCCACGGGAGCCGGGGTGGCCGCCTGAGAGTCCTGTGGAAAGAAGCAGGAACAATAAAGAGTTTTCAGAATATCTGGTTAGTAACACTGAACAATGATGAGTCAACAATACACTCTGCTGTATTGTATGCTGTGAGCATGCCTTTCTCGGATGCCTAAGATTGCTGAATAACAAATAAGTCGAGGCAAGTTAAAACCCTTCAGTTACCATTATTTCAACTTAGTTTTACCTCTTTCTTGAGGTAGGTTATTTAACCTCTCTGAGACTCAGTTTCCACATCTGAAAAATAAGAGACAATAATGGTACCTATATCTCAAGGGTTGACATGGGGCTCCAGTGAGTTAACATGTGAAGTGTTTTGCATGGTTCCTGAAAACAGTTAACTCAATAAATTTTAGAAACTATTATTATTTATTTCCTATTATTAACCATCATATAATAAAATAATATACTAATTATATAACACAATGTAACATTTTATATTAAAGATATCATTTTTATATATTGAAAAGCACCTTGTACATTGTAAATATATAGCTATGTACAAATGCAAAGTAGTAATCCTATCCCAGGAGTTCTCAAAGTGAGGTCCCTGGACTAGAAGCCTCAGTATTACAAGAGAACTTGCTAGAATTGCACATTCTTGGGCCCCTGTGCCAACATACTAAATGAGAAATTCTGGGGCTAGGGCCCAGCAATCTGTTTTAACAAACCCTCAGTGATCCTGATGCATGCTAAAGTCTGAGACCCACTGTACTATCTTATTTTATCACAAGGTAAAATTTCAAGTAAATTATTTTAATCCAGGCATTTCTGGAAGTCTATCCTATACGCAAGGTGTTTAACAGATGATCATTAATAGGATATGATTTCTCCTTTCAAAGAACTTACTCTTTAAAACTATGTATAAATATAAGAAGGAAAGAAGGACCAAGAGCTATAAACCTGTCTGCAACAAATGCCTCGACAGAGACCTGTAAAGAAAGCACTGCAGCCCCGCTGACATGTTATGTTCTGCTTCATAAGAGTTGGAAGGCTGGCCTGGTTTGAGGAGACAAAGGCCATATTTTAGCACAGCCTTAAAGGGACGACTAAGATTTCAGCTGATCTGGAATTAGGAAGAAAGGTTATTCCAGACAAGGAACCATATGAGAAAAGCCATGGAGGCACCCACTTAAGGTCATAGTGACATGGGGACACACCTCGGTAGAAAAGGAAGCTGGGACCAGGACACTTGAGTAGGAACTTCATTCTTGTAAGAAATGGGAAGCTCTCGAGGGGTGGAGCAGGGGAACAATGTGACTACAAGCCAGCGCCCTGCTCAAGGGTAATCCTGGTGGACAGACAGGGCGGGCTGGAAGGAGGCTGAAGACGGAGGCGGGCCGTTGCCACCTGGAGGCGAGTGACAGCAACTTCAGGGAGGTCCGTTACAGAGGCAGGAATAGAAAGGAGAGCACGGGTGTGGGTGCTTCCCCGACAGAGTAATTACAGGATTTAAATTGCAAGAAAGCCGGGGTCAGCTTGGGGAAAGAAAGCACATCCAGAAAAAGGCAAAACAAAAACCGCACGTAGAAAAAGGTAGCAAAATGGGCTTTTTTTAATCAACCGCTTCATGCTGAATACTTCTGGTCTCACATTTTTAAGATTATAGAAAAACATTAAAAAACAAGCAACACAAGAGACTTAATTTTAGAAACATACTTCTGTTTTTTCAGTTGGCTTAGATTGTTTTTCTTTACACTTGGCCCGGTCAAAATCTTCTGAAAGCTCATCAATGAGTTCGGATTCACTCAGGGGCTGTAATATAAGACATATTGTATATCATGAAGTAACTACTTTTTACTTTATTAAAAAAGTTTTCATAAGAATTTTTTCTGGTTGACACATATTAGGCCATATAGGGTGAGGCAAAAATAGATTTACTGTTGTATGTGAAACACAGTTTACTTTTTTACTATCATTTATTAGTCACTGTATTATTTTCCATACAAACCACTGCAAACCTACTTTTGCCCCACTCCTGTATCTTAGGATGTAAAAAAGCTAATTAATACAGGGCATTTCATTTATTAACATAGGATATAAGTGTTATGCAACAAGTAATATTAAATACCTCAGTACCACAAAAATGTTAATGGTTTTAAAGTTTTCCTGATACTTCAATTACACAGTAATTTTGTTCAAGTAAAATTTCCTGTTCTCTCCAATAAAGATGTGTATAATTTTTTCTTTTGTGATTGTTTGTTTTTTCTACTTCCCAATGGCTTCCCTTCTGAATAAGCCAGAGGAAGAATCCTCCTCTCCTACAGCTATGTGGGGTTTGGGCAGGAAATCTGTTATCCCTGGCTCCTTCCTGTTAAGCGGATTATTTGTTTAGGGCATGGGAAGGTTTTGACTAACAGTAATCGATGACAGAATTACAAGGGACACAGGAGCTGGGCCCCAGTGTCAGGCACCCAAATTTGGAGTCTTGGTTGGCCTTGCTATTTCCTAGCTGTGTGACCTCAGTCTATTTATATAATCTTTCTGTATCTCAGTTTCCTTATCTGTAAAATGGGAATGATAATAGCACCTTCTTCATTCAGTGAGGACCCCAAAAGATAGAATATAAAGGCATCTAGTGCAGTGTCAGGCACATGGTAAATGATTAATAAATGTTGCTTAATATGTTGCTTAGTATTATCATGATAGGTAACCACCCTGGTTGATTCCAACTTCAGCGATGGCCGTGTAGAGTCATTAGAGTATTTGCTGCTGTAATTAGAACCAAACTCTAAGTTAAGTGTTAACATCTAATTTAAGGGCCCTCTTGACATTAGCTCCTAATGTTAGCAAATGTCACCTAGAAATTTATAATAGTCTAGTGTTAATCCATGAGGAAAATAATGAATATATGTGAAAAGGAGTCACAAATCTGAGCCAAGTGTTGCTGTCCAAAGGTTCTCTCTCCTTAATACTAGGGTGGTATGTCAAGTCTCCATGGTGAAATCCTATCTGTCAAAATTATCTCAATTTATACTTTACATTTCTATTGTTTTATAAGTATCTGGAAAAAAACCTTATTTCCCAACCTTTGATTTTTCTTCAGGCTCTGGCAATAGTGGCTTTCCATCTTTATCCTGTAAATGAAATTTGAAAATTCATTGAAAACAACATAGAAAATATTGCTTTCATGTCCCATTAAGTTTGTCTTGGGGAATTCCAGGATATTATAGGAGAGTGTTTTTCTCCTTATATTTAAGTGAATTTACATTTCAGGTTTATCTTTTATAGAGTATCAGAATAAAGACTTGAGATGTAAAAATCAAGAGACCAAATATCAAATATAGTTCACATTTACTTTTCTTTAAAAGTTGCTTTAAAAATTTCACCTATTCGTTATAAAAATAGAATTAAAAAAAATCTTTAGCAAGAAAGGTGCAGCTACATTAATGAAAGATTTTTTTTTAAAAGCCTCAATTCTCCAACCCAGGTAAAGATGTAGATATTATTCCTAAAATACTGTTTTATTTTTTTGGATATGAGGTTTCACAAGTTAGAGTATTTCTAAAAATCAAAAACTTTCTATCTAAGAACATGTATGACAATCACAACTATGAGAATCACAACTATTTTCCATTGTAAGTTTATGTGTATTACTTCAAAGATAAATTACAGATATAATTACAGGAGCTAGTCCACCATCCTCATCTTACCTCAAACCAAAACCAACAAAACTTTAACTGAGGTTTCTGATAAACAGCTCTATGTTTATATCTACCACTTAGAGATATGGTACTTTTATCTATAGAGCAGGTAGGAAAAAAAAGTTATTCCCAAGTTGTTCCTTCAGCTTTAAGGTTAAGAATCCATGTCAAGCATTGTTTATAGTAGAACCACTTGAATTAGTGGTAATTTTAATAAACATATGATCACGACTCAGGAAACCATCCCTTAAAGGGTCCAACTGTAGAGAGCAGAGAAGAAGGGGCTCAGGATTTTCAGAGCTGGTATGTGAACCAGGACAGACATGTCCTTGAGCATAATGGGGACAGATGCCCAAAGCATGATGGAAGGCCAGGACTGTGTGCTGCTGTTATGCACCACTGGCTAACAACATACCGTGGCTGGTTTTAATCTGTACTCTGATGGGATTGTTTCGTCTTCTTCACCACACTTCTTTAGTTTCTCTTCTTTGGCTTTTGCCTGAGGAAAGTGGAGAAAAAAATAAACATTTGGATAATACATGTAAAATAAGATGGTATCACTTTATGTACTTCATGGATGTTGTAGAGAAGACCAAAATCAGATAAAAGTGTTTGTATGTGCTTGCCAACTACAAAGCGGAGACCACGGTAAGTGGCTTTGAGGAGGGCCGCAAGTGGGGTGACGGAGGACAAACAGCACAGCCAGGAAGCCTGGGGAGGTGCTGTTTAACCTTGGGAAGCCACTTAGTCTTTCCTTTGCTTACTTTCTTCAGCTATAAAATGGGGCTACTAATAATCCTTACCTAGCTACTGACTTGTAAGGATCACCAGAGAAAAGTAAATAAAATATCCTTTGAGACAGTTAAGCACAGTGCAGGAGTTAGTTGCAATTATTTTAACAGCCTTCATCTTTCTTACTCAATGAGACAGTTATCCCCAGGGGAGAACATGAAGTCTCATGAATGGTGGCCACAGTTCAGAAATGGGAGAGCAGCCCATTCACAAGCCTTGGCTCATCCACAGACAATTGGCTTTACCTCTTCTATTAATACAAGGACTCCCTTCAATAACACCAGGACTTCACCGGATTAATGAACCATGAACAGCCAACTCAGTTAGAAATAAAGATGTACAGTAGTTCTATAACAGACCCCTGGCTTCTAAGATACAACATTTGCATTTTAAATAATTGGTGAGTAGTGAAATTTCCATGATATGTAACAATTTGTACCTATATCAAGGCATAGATTTAAATTCCAACCCAAGGAGTTCCTGGGCACGAAGGGCAGCCAGGTGTCACTTAGCAAATTCCAGCTCAACCCACTTTGTCCACCTACATCTCAGTCTAAGATTGTAGTCCTCCATTGAATAATTAATTAAAAAAATATTGATTAAGCCCTTTAATAAACCCGGCACTCTTCTATACTTCAGAATTACAGTTTTATTGTTCTATAGAATAACAACTCTCATTAAGGGATAAAAGGGTTTTGTTGTTTTTTTTTTTAACATTTCCCATTATATTCTACTGCAGATATGGAGGGAGCCCTATTATGCAGTGGTACTCCTCAGTTCATAGATTTATGAGGTCTCTGCCTATGAACCAGCCTTCATGAAGGTCAAGATCACCTGTTTGGCAAGACTACCTTCTCCATTTCACTGAATCCTACTCACAACAAGAAGTACATGCATAGCTAGACCCTTTCTATTTCTTCTTGATCTTTATATACTTTTTAAAAAAGATTTATTTACTTTTTTAAAAAAGATTTATTTATTTTAGAGAGAGGAAGGGAGGGAGAGGAGGAGAGAAACATCAATGTGTGGTTGCCTCTTGGCCACCCCCTACTGGGGACTTGGCCCTTAACGGAGGGATGTGTCCTGACTGGAACCTAACTGGCAACCCTTTGCTTTGCAGGCCGGCACTCAGTCCACTGAGCCACACCAGCCAGGGCTGATCTTTATATACTTTAAATCAGGGGTCCCCAACCCTGGGGCCGGGGATGGGTACTGTCTGTGGCCTGTTAGGAACTGGGCCACAAGTAAAGCTCGCCTGAGTGCGGCCTCCAGCCCTTCCACCACCGTCCACAGCAGGAGTTGAGTGTCAGGCAATCAAGTGGGTCTCTACCCACCCCATCCAACCTGTAGGTATTGGAAGCAAATATCTAGGAAATATCTACTGAATTGAAATAGACTAGATAACCACACATAGAAATGGGGGAGATTCCTAATGAGGTATCATTATAAATATTATTTTATGATACCTTATAAAAGTGACAAGTGTGCATGGACCCCTCCTCTGAAGCATTCTGTAGTTCTTCCTCGAGTGCTCTCTAGCATGGGAGGGACTGAGTGGCTGTGAACTCCTGTAGAACAGGCCCTTCATGAGCCTATCAGAGCATCAGACCACCCATCAAGTAAAGAATTCACCATTATGTAGTAAAAATTCAGCTGAATAAGTTATTTTATTTAGTGTTTTTTACATCTGATTTTAGTCACTCTAAGACTTTTTGTCCTGAGATTAATGTGTATACCTTCCCTCCCTGAAGTATTGTCTCTTTAAACCACCCTAATTATCTGTAAAAAGCCTGAGGTGGAAGTGCACCTGGCTCACGGCCCTGTAGCCCTCTGGGGGCGGAGCCGCAGCTCAACTTGCCCTTACACCTCCCCTCCCCGGTGCTGCCTGGACCGCCTTCCTCGCGCTGAGGCTTCTATCTGGCTGCTCCAAGTAGTGCAGCTCGCATTGTGTTTTGTTTTGTTTGTTTTTTACTGTTGTTCTGCTAGGGTTGTCCCGATTTTCCCCCATTGCACTGCTCTGCCCTGCCCTGTCCTCCCCACAGCCAATCCGGCCCTGTTGCCCATGTCCATGGGTCATTTTTACTTGTTCTTTAACTAGGCCCAACGTTTTGTTTCTTGCCAATACATTACTTGGTCCTGGAGGACGAGGACGGCCTCCCCTGCCCCCTTGTGTTCGCCTTCAGGAAGCTTGTCGTGCCACACGGCGTCTGGGGAGCCCTCCAGGAAAGTCGAAGACAGAAACTGGCCCATTTTGCTCAGGGCGGTCCCAGACTCAGGGAGAACACCTGGGAGTCAGTGAGACTCCCCTTCCCCAGTGACTCAGAACAGGAAGTGACAGCAGAGGCAGAGCATTGTGACAGCAGCACCTGCCAGGGTGGGGGCCCGCAGCCTGTACTTCCAAGCCCCCCACCCCCCAATACACCATCTTGCTGGAAATGTCCCCAGGGCAACTCTCTTCTTTCCTTTCTCTCTTCCCCACAGAGGACTCATTTTAAACATTATTTAAAAATTGTAATTTAATAGTAAGCTTCTGTTCCACCAAATACAAGCCTGCTTTGGCTTCTGCTTGTTAAGGTTTTGTTCCATGTGGGGATAAAGACTCCCCATATTCTCAACACGCAGCTTCAGTTACGGTGTAACTGTTACTGGATTTTATTCCAATTTGAGATGCATTTTCAACACAGCTACAAAGGCAGGATCCCTCTGCCTGCAGTCGTCTCCCTCTCTCCCTATGAATGGAAGTACCCCAAACCCTCCGAAAATACAAATTTCCAATTTCCATAAGAGCAGACCAACCTACTTCTCACAGGCCATTGCCTGCGTGTTATCTTGTTTAGTCAGGTGTCATTTAAGCGTTGGCCAAGGAGATTAGTGTTTATTTTAACTATTCACATTCAACATGGTTTACAAGACAAAAACTCAAATACCCTTCTTGGTTGCTAACTCCCCGGCAATAACTCTCTAAATTAACCAGAGACCCTGAAAGTAAGGCAGAATGAAGAGTAGATCATTTTAAATCTCCAATAAATAAAAGTTGTGCACAACTTCTAAACAGGCATAACACATTTAGTTTTGTAACCCGCAGACTACCAGGCCTGGTATGTGAACTCCAAGGTCAGTACCTCATCGACTTCCTTAATGGAGCTGGGGTCGAGCTCGGGTTCGGACTCCCTGCGGCCCAGCGAATCTGAAAGAGCCTCCAGTGCTTGGTCGCTCATTGTGTCCTGTTACAAAGGAAAAATTCTGTCCATTAGAAAAGAGCCTTTCCTCGGCCTAAACAATCCATCCACTTCTTTGTGAGATACAAATTTCAAATCTAAAAGATGAATCATGGTTTGGGGAAGGACTTCAGGAAGGCAATTTTTATAGGAAACCTAGCAAAAGAGAGAAATAATAGAGAACTTACCAGGGAGTGAAAATGGGGGCTAAGCCACGTTGCTACGGTAACAGTGCCCCCAGGGGCATACTGCACTCTTATTTAGCAAGCTAGAAATATAACTGTGACCATAATTATGCCATTACAAAATACTCATATCAAAATAAAAGCTGCAAGAAGTAAACTTTCACTATCCTGTCTTTCCTTTTCCAAAGATGACTCTGGCAACCTTGTCCTTTGGCAAACCAGCCAAGCCCGGGAAGCAGGGAAGGCTCAGGTGGCCGGCTCCCTTCTCCTTCGAAGGCCCACGGCGGAGCACTGTAGGAATGCCCACTTTCAGGGGTGGGGCGCTCTTGCTGCTCCCCGCCAGCCAGATAAAAACAAACTGTCACTCCAGCAGGGGAGAGGCAGTGCTACCCCGACAGAAACTGTTGCTTGTATTATCTGGACTGTTTGCAGGCGGGGCATGTTTTCTCTTCCAGCCCAGAGCTGGAGGGCCACATTTCAGGATTCCTGAGGATAAGGCAGAGCTGACTGTGGTCGAGAAGTGGGCAGGAGCTGCTAAGACAACACCCTCCAGTGACTGCACAGGCCTCCAACTCCTTGATGAGACCATGCTGAAGATTTTATGTCCCAAGATTGTCACTTCTCTGGTGTCCTGCCCTCTGTGTATTGTAATGGTGAGGCAGTCTTAATTCACAACCAAGAAGATGGTGCTGAAATCTCCCATAAGCATTTGCAGAAACAAAGAAGACCGGCCTGGCGGTGAGTATCACCCTGACTGGTTTCACCGTTCCCCACAGACCCCAGGGAGAAAGGATGCGCCTCAGGATGCGTCCTGCACTGCGAGACTGCCCTGAATCAGCCAGGTCAACCTCGGGAAAGCAGCTGCTGCCTCACAGACCTTGGTTATTTTCAAAACAGTAAGTATCTATACCTCCTCCACCTTTCTTTTTTTCTCATGGGGTGGAACAGCACTTTTGATCACCCTGGCTGACTGAGCTTTTAACACTTCTCCGGAAGATTTCTGAAAAAGAAAAGACAAGAGATTACATTTATAGATGAGGGAAGCATAAAAACCAGAACTAAAAAGTTGTTTTAGAGTTGAGAGGGTTTCTAACAAGTTCTGCTAATAACATTAAAAATAATACCTCCTTCTCAGTTTTCTTTCCCTCGGGGGGAGGAGAACTGCAGGTGAAGTCAGATGACAAGGCATCGATGGCTTCATCAGGCCCCGTGGGTCTCTAAATAAACAGGCACCACAATGAGTAACATGGGAATTATTCAAGTGAAAGATGAGATAAACCCAGCAAAGGAAGAATGTACTTTGGCAAGTCCTTTACCACCATATGATATATGTTAATAAAGTAGCTCAGATGAAAGCCTGTGTTGGGAAGGGAATGGGTTTTGCAATATTATTTTTCTGGTCCCTCTTCTAAATGTATTACATGTTAGGATATTCCCATTCTATGTTTATTAACCTTTATTTTATCCTAAAGCTTTCTTGGCTCCATTTCCCTTCCTCTCCAAAGAATTTCATAGGAAACCAATGAGCACTGAAACAACTCCCATGTCTACCCCCTTCCTCCAAACAGATGAAAACTTCATCTGATTTAGAGATTACTTTAGCCACAATACAGCCCTATCTGCTAACCAAAAGTATAAAAAGTGTTCATTTGGATCTTAGAGGACATTTATGTAAACTCACCGAAGAGTCCGGAGGAGGCCCCGTGATCCCTTCTTTTTTCTGAAACATATATGAATTTGATAAAGTTGAGAAGGCAAAATTAATCCTTATAATCAACAAAATGTATTGCTCAGGGACTGTTATGGGTTGAATTATGTCTTCCCCAAAATCACATTGTTGAAGTCCTAACCCCAAGCACCACGGAATGTAACTGTATTTGGAGACAGGGCTTTTAAAAGAGGCAATTAAGGTTACATGAGGACATTAGGATGGGCCCTAATCCAATATAACTGGTATACGTATAAAATGGGCAAATGTGGGCCAGAGATACATATAGAGAGAAGACCATATGAAGGGACATACACATGATAGCTCTCTACAAACCAAAGAGAGAGGCCTGGAACAGAGCTTCCTTCGAGGCCCTCCAAAGGAGCCAACCCTGCCCAGCGCCTTGATTCCGGGGTTCTAGCACCAGAGTTTAAGTCACCCCGTCTGGATTCTTTGTTACAGCAGCTCTAGCAAAGTAATACAGTAAGTGTCACAGTATGACCACTTCATATGCCCCATTTTACTTCCTAAACTTAAAAAACTGTGACTATATTGATGCGATCAAGATTATATTACCAAAAAGGGAAACAGTAAAGTAAAAGTAAATGGTTATTTAACTTACATTCAAAAGTTCCCTGTATTTTGGAGGAATTGTGACCTCTCTTTTACCCAATTCCTCTATGTAGGTAGAGCTCATGGGATCCTGTAATAAAATCACACACATAGGGATATTATATAATTAATTATTTGAAAGTGTTATATGCGTGTTCTGAAACCAAAGTACTATTTCATTCTTAATTTATGAAACTATTGAAATTAAATGTAAAACATTAAGAAGCCAATATTTTACACAACTCTGACATTCAAAGTTCACACAAATACTTTCCCTTATTTAATTAGCTTAACCCATATGTAATGCTACAAAATATTCAAATCATTATATTAAATTTGATTCCTATATTAAAATACATTTGACTTTAAATGTATTTCATCGATTTTGCAATTCATACAAAAGTACAGTTAATAAGAATAAATGTCTGTATAGCACAATTACCTAACTCTATTGCATCTGTAGTTATTTTTACAAAAAGTTAGATAGAATGATGTCTGCTGCTTAGCCCTTTCCAACCCCATTCCCCATCCTTGTTAGCCAGAGATAGCTACCAACCTGAACTTTAAGGTTATCATATCCACCCGTTTAAAGCTAAGCATATTTTAAAATGGTTATTCTACATGTGGGCATCCACAAACAATATACAACATTACTTTGTATATATTCAAATGTTATATAAATTGTATCATTCTACATATCATTCTGTAATGTATTTTCATTCAAAATTATGTTTTGGTATCCATTTTGATATATAAATAATCCATTTTAATCACTATAAAGTATCCCACTTATTATCTTGTCTCCTGTTGAACACAGCTGTTCTTCTAACTCCTTGTACAGGGTGCAAAGCTCCTTTGGGGACTTTGTCCAGATGTGAAATTGCTGGTTGAAGAGGGTGCACATCTTCCACATTCACAAGCTCCCAAGGGGCTGCCAGACTTTTACAACTTCTCCCAATCTGATAAGTGTGAAGTGATTCCTCTCCATGTTTTTATATCACTTACCTAATTACTAGAGAAACTTTCATTGTTTATTAGCCCATTAAGTTTTAAGTTTTCTCTTAATTTTTTATTGGGTTGTCTTTTTCTCATTTTAAAATTCTTCATAAATTCTATCACAAATCCTGTGCTGTGTTCTTTTGCAAATACTTCCAGTCTATGACATGTCTTTTTCTTTTAAAAGAAATCATATAATTTTCTTGCTTTTAAGGAATTGGGGATAGGGATGAACTGAGGAGGGTAAATAACTAGCAATCAAAATAAGTTCAAATCCCCAGGACTCAAATCTCAAGGACAGAAAAGTCTTTGTGACCCAATGGGCTGTACGCCAACAATAATCTCAGCACAGACAATCAGTGTGTCCTGAATCCATGTAATAGCACAGCTACCACAGGATAAACCATTTCCATCCCAACAGTAATTTCAGTTGCTGTTGTTGATACTGACATCATCCTATTTCTCTCCGAGCAATGGAACCCTAGGTATACTTCTGTGCATCACAACTTTATTCTGTTCTCCTACCCATGAAGAATGAATCTTTCCAGATATTAAGATCGCATACCGAAACTTCAGGTCCAGTATATGGTGTATTATCTTGTTCAGTTTCTTCAGGTTCTCCTAAAGTGTCTATTAAGTCATCCAAAGCGGCATCCATGTCTGACTGGAAAGAAAAGAGAACAGATATTTAAATGTTATCTGTTATATACTAAACTTTTGATTTTTTAAAACTACAAAATACCATTCTGTGTAGAAAAATACCAAACATCAAAAGTTCTTCAAATATCAAAATAGTTAAAATCTGGTCTCAGTTAAACCTTATTATTTAAAGTCTCCGAGTACAGATTCTAATTTTTTTTTTAATTTATTGCGTTTTAGAGAGAGAGAGAAAGAGAGAGAGAAAGGGGGTGAGGATAAAAAAAGAAGTGATTTTTTTTTTTTTTTTTTGCAACTACAACTACCTGTTAATGTAATAAAATTTGGGGCCTGCTAGCTTTAACTTTTTTTTTTTTAAATCCCCTCACCTGAGGATCTGTTTATTGATTCGAGAGACAGAGAGATCAATGTGCAACAGAAATGCTGACCGGCCACCTCCCATACACGCCCTGACCAGGGAGTGAACCCGCAACCTAGGAATGCGCCCTGCCCGCCATGCCCTGGGACGGAAGCTGCAGCCTTTGGTTTACAGGACGGTGCTGGCGGTGCCTGCCATCTTTAGAGTGATTCAACTGGGAATTCAGAATGAAGAAGTACCTGACGGTCTTTAGTGATACTTTTGTTTAAAGAAGGTATATTTGCAGGAGTGAAATTGGAGTGTTATCTTCATGGGATGTATCTAATTGTGGAGTTTTCAGAATAGGGGGCTATACTATAAAATATTACAAACATATGTGAGAATATCACACTTTCAACCCTATTATGTTAGCTTAACACAAATCATTAAAAAGCTTCCTTAAGCTACCCTACTTGATATTGTTTGCCCTCAAGAAATCAGACCATGATAGACTATGAATAAATAACTTATGCAGAAATGTATTGCTATCTTCATACCTCTCCAGATGGTTTATCCGGTTTGGACTCAACTGGTACAGCTGACATTAATGACTTACTGTCTTTTTTCTGCTGGGGGTTTAGAAAGAAACAATAAGTCCTTAACATACATTTATAAAATTCAATAATACTATATATTAAAATGAATTCATTAGAATGTTAATAGCATTGATCATACACACACACACACACATTGAATTTGCTCTGTGGTAGACACTATGTTGTATGTATTATACCCTTTTGCAGAACAGCATAGATAATATTAATAAATAATAATATAGATTAGTGATATGGAAAGCAAAGATCAGAGAGGTTACATAACGTTTTTCCCGGTCACACAGTAAAAAACAGAACCAAGATTTGAACTGAGAACTGCCCATCTCTTTTTTCACTACTCTTGGCTGCCCCTCCCGGGACCGCAGCCAGTCTTTGCATTCTTTGCAAGTGTCCACTTCCTCTAGCTGTTGCTATTTCAGTCTTTGCCCCCAACACAGTAAGACCTCCACACGGCTTGGTTTGGCATCTCATCGCACACTCTTTTCTTTATTTACCTAAAACGAATTTCCTTCCTACTATCGCTTCCGTGGCTCTGTCAATGATTGCCAGTAACTTTCCAATCTGTGACTTCATGCCTTTCCCCAGATCTGGGCGAGGACCCCTCTCTCCTGACTCTCACCCTCCACAGCAGCTGTGGCCGAGCACCACCCTGGTTTTACTGGGGCGTTTGTGCCCTCTGCTCTCTGCCACCTCTGGCATCGCTGCTGTTTTGCCCACAGCTGCACACATTTAACAGAGTTCTGCCCTGTGCTGGTTGTCCTATCCAAAATCAGTCTTTAGAACCAGAGGCCAACTGCTTTGAGGGCCTAGCAGCAGCTAAATGGGGGAAGCTGCCAGGATTAAGACAATAGGAAACCTCGGTCCATTTGCAGGTCCCTAAATCCGGGCAGCAGAGCGTGGAGGCGGACAGCAAGGGCTCCGACTGCCTGGGTTTGCGCACTGCCAAGCCCCCGCTGCACCAGACTTCAGGCAGGTCACGTCTCCTGCACCTCGGTATCCTCACGTGTGAGATGGGATTGCGACTGCACCTACCTCGGGGGGTGTGAGGATTAGTTAAGTGAAAGCCAGTGTTTGGCACATTCTGAGCCCTTTGTAATTATTTAATGTTTAAGTACGTGTTAAGCAAATGACGGTATGGTTGTTTTGTTAAAAGTACTGTGGGGGCCATCAAGGCGTGAGCCTGAGTCTGGGCAATTGCGCTCACTTCTAGAATTCAACCACACAGCCTTAGGCAGACATTCATCCGCGCTCTTCCTGCCCAATTCTCTCTCCCCCCATCTTTTGGTACTCCAAAACAGTATTCTAATTACCTTGCTACACATCTTTCTTGGGACACCTCAAACACGTAAATCAGACACTGCTTTTCCCCTTCAACCAGTTCCTCTTGTGACTTCTGTCCTCCTGCCAGTGGTAACCGGGGGATGGGCTCACAGTTGAAGGAGGCACACACGCTCACAGGTGCCAAGCCCTGTACTGGCACGAGCCTCACCTCAGGGTTAACAACCTAGTTCAGTCAGCCTCAAGCCCCAGGTTACCTGAGATTTAACTTTACCTTTGCCCAATCATTTCCTGAAAACTGAAGGTGTTACCTCAGCAATGCCTCCTCCCATGCTCCCCACTAGCTTATTCTATCTCAGCTCTAATTTATACTAAATTGGGACTCACTAGAACTGGTAGAACACCCCTGACGAACCTCCTACCCTCCCATCTCTAATCCATTTTATCCCAGCCCCTTCGGTCACTTTTAATCGCACCACTCCATCTGTTCTCTAACCTTCAGTGTTTATTCCCTGCCTGTTGAATACAAACTCACCTTCACAGTCTCCACAGTGACACCTCCCCCCCCCCCGCGCTTCTTTCCAGTCTTACAGTCCCACTGCTCGCCCCTCTATGCTTCACCCTACACTGGAATGTACTTTGTACCCAGGACACATCTTATAGTTTTCCACGTTGATGCCTTTACAAGCCTGCAGTACAAGCTATCTTCCCACGCCTCACTCAGATTGGATCTGTTCAGAGTCCTAGTGGGTTCCCACAATCAGACAATGCCTCCAGTCCTCACCAAACAGCAACCTGCCTTAATCTTCCTTGAATTGCCCTCTTGAATTGCCCTGGTAGAGTCAGACACAGTGTATCAAGCATTGTATGTACCAAAGTTTAAAAAAAAAAAAAAAAAGGCAGATCTAATCAATCCCATTTTATGGAAGACAAATCAGAAACAAAGAAAAGTTAAGTGATTTGCCACAATTTCCAGCTCAAGTCAGCACAAACCAGAATTCCATATAAGCCTCTCCTAATTTTATTGTTCTGCTTTCACTGTAACCCTAAATTATATCTAACAAAATTTCAAATTACATTCTACTCTAACAGATCTAATCCTCTCTCTCAAATACATTCATTTCGTCAACAAGAGAGAGTAACGTGTACCCCTGGGATGAGTTGGACGTGTGGTCTCAAGCAGTCTGTTGCAAGAAAAAAATATTTTTAATTAAGTTGGACATTTTCACTTAAAAGTTTACCATTACTCCATAAGATATCTGCATTTTCTCTCCAGATCTGAGAAAAATCTGCTATTTCAGGGAGATATGCCAGAAGTGATCCTATGACTTTCCTTGCCATTTAGCCTATAGGATACCTTTCTCATTTTGAGAAACAGGAAAATAGATAAATACATACTACTACTTTCTATTTTCATTTCCACGATCTCATTATTGCTTCAATTTCTTGCTTGTAGTTTCCAGAGAAATAAGTACTAGAATTTCTAGAGAGACATGGCTCCAAACTGACGTGTTGCTATGGTAGAAACGTTGACTGCTTCTCCTCTTACATTTCCTGGCAATCTTAATAGGCTCATCAAAGGATCTAAGGGGGACTTGCCCATAATTTGCCAGAAGGGCATGCACACTCTCTTCTGAGGTGGTTTATGATATCTCTTTTGAAAACCTCCCATGTCAATTCATGTGGGTGTCATGACTGTTCACAGTTTACTAGTAAGAAACTTGAAAGCTGAGATCAATGCTTATTCAAATGCTCAAAGCAATTTTGTTTACTTTATTTCAAACCCGTATACTTTGAAGGCAGGATCTGAAGCAACTCACATGTTAAGTTCCTTGATACCAATGCTAGTCCTTATACATGACAGGTGATCAATAAACACTTACTGAATTTTTAGATTTTAAAATCAATTTTGGTATCTTGTTCACTCTACATCCTTGAGCTATGTGATCCTCTTCATAAATTTTTATATATGAACATTGTTCAGTTTTATTTGAGTGTGGTAGCACCGGAACCCTAATGTAAAGCTCAGGTAGAATGGGACTCCACTGAGCAAACATTTCTCATAAGGGAATGATAAGGACTGAAGCCCATGCACGCTCTGCGTCTGCTTATGTGTGCCCACCTTGTCATCTGACTTGCCAGATGCCGCAGCTACATCGGCAACAGCGCTCTCTACCAGCAGAAATTGTTACTCTGATTTAGTCTAAGGGTGAGGGATAACAGGTTAACAGGACTAAGTCTTCCTGAGTGACTGTTTTCAAGATTATGCATTTCAAATGTCACTGCTGGGCCAGTTTACTCTTGTATAGCAATAGTCACTAGCTTCTATTAAACACAATGCAATACTGAGCACCACATCAGGCTGGGCTTGAGAGCTTACAGAGTCTGTGCAGGTAGCACAGACAGCGAAGTGGGCCAGGTAAATTAGAGCACATATACCAGGTGTAAAGCTCTAGCCAGTTCTTGCCACGTGAGCCCACTGTACCAGATATTCTAATTTTTCAAGAGAAGCTTCTGATTTTATGTGAACTATTCTGCCTTTAGTTGTTGGTGGCTATTAAAAAGAATTTAAATAATATTTTAAGCCAAACAAAGTACATTTGAACAAAACACACGTGAGCTGCATGTAACAGGTGGGCCACAGGTATGCAATCTCTGACCTAACATACAGTGCTAAGTTGGTCAAGTTCTTGTCTTCCGAGGGCTCTCATTGAAAAAGTTCCTCTCATGTTTGCTTATTCTTCTAACAGTTAGTTGGCCCCCAGTAGCTCCAGAAATATTGAATCTATTTCCAACTTTTGGCCCTGTAAGTTCACCTCTTCTAGAGCAAGACCCTAAAAAGTCTGTAAGACTTCCATGTAAATGGAAGAACATGCAGGGCATGTGTGTTCCCATAGCCCATGGAAACAGGGGTCCAGAGGGCAGCCTCAATCCCATGTTCCTGCCCGTGAGGCACGGAGCCTGCTGCCCTGCTGTCATGACTGGGTAATGCCAGGCAGGAGAAGGCTGGATGGAACATCCCCCGGACTCACCTGGTGTTCCCCTCAGGCCTTCCATAGGCCCGCATTTCCACAAGGCTATTTGCAAAAGCAGCACAATGATAGCACCAAATCATTACAATATAAGATATATTCGGCACAGGTCTGCAGATCCACTGCCACATGTCAACGGAGCTAGAGGACCTGCACCTTAGTCCCTAGGTGATGTCAGTGTCTCCTCGCTAGTAATCCGATTTACTCACCGTTGGCTTTGTTGACTTCTCTGAAGTCGGCTGCTCACTTGATCTGGAAACTCCTTTTTCTTTGTGAGCATGCTTGCTTCCTGTATCTGAGGCATGTTTCGGTAGGCTTTTTGGCTGAAAACATACATACACCACACTGTTAACAAGATGGCAAATACAGACATTTTTCTCTGTACTTGAAAGTACAAATACAGAGAAAGTGTTCACAACAGTTGTGTTTTATGTAGTTTTGAACTGTGCAAATTTAAATTAGTGTGATATAAATAAGATGAAATTTCACCTTAGGTACAAGATTTGAAATAACGCAAATCCTTCCTCCACAATTCAGCAAGAATTCACCAGTAAACTGTAAATTCTGTTACTGCCACATGGTGGCACCAATTTAGCCAAAAACAAAAACCAAACAAACAAAAAAACAAAACACCAGGGAGCGATCCTCATAGGACTTGTTTATATAGCAATTTACATTTGTTAAAATTTTCCAATTACAGTGGGTATTCAATATTATTTTATATTAGTTTCAGGTATACAGCATAGTAGTTATACAATCATATAATTTACCAATTAACCTCTCCAGGGACTTAAGTCTTGAATGATGAGAGTTTAGTATTGTATCGCTCACATACACAAAAGGCTTCATCTTATAATATCAAGTCCTAATGATGATTGTTTACCTCTGTGTGTTCCTTTGGCTTTACTTCTTGGACTTGTTTCTCATGAACCACAGGTGGCTGTCAATTTCAAAAGATAAACCTCAGTCACATTGGAGTTCATCATTATTTTCATATTTCCAAATAGGCTCAAGAACAAAATTCCCTGTTAGACCTTTCTGCCTCTCTCGAGAATGTCCCAGTTAGAGGTATAGATATGTGCTGTCTGGTCAATGACCATCCTACCAATAGCATGATAATGATAATTACCAGAAGAATAATGAAAAATTTAGGTTTTTACCTAGAATAATTTTTCAAGTAGGTATATCTCTGTAAAGTATTGGCTGTTTTTCACAATTCATGCCAATCTTTTGGTAGCTGCAGGTCTATCCACAGAGACAGCAAGTGATCATTGTGACCACTGGTGAAAGGGGTCCAAGTTTGTTGAAAAGGGGCTCTACTCTAGAAATTAATTTTTTAAAAAAAAACTTTTTACAGGAGATAAAGAAAACTGCATTTTCTTCAACTGAATGATTTAAATAGTCTTTTTTTGTGTTACAAGTACAGAAGAAACTAGAAACCCAATTCTCTTGAGATCAGGTAGATAACTAAAAGCATTTACATATAAAATAAAAGACAACCTCCACCCAGCTGCTGAATTCTCCCTCTAGAGAGGACTATGGAGTCACCATCCTCAGGGCCACCAGGGCGCCTGACACACAATCAGATAAGCCTCAGCTTTCACCCAGGCAACCTCACCCTTGCCTGCACTTAGAGCACTTGAGCTAGAAGCATCTCTGTGCTTTCCCACAGGAAACCTTGTGGTTTTATCCGAGTATTTGCTTAAGTGTGCTTGAAGGAAATAAATAGCAGCATCCAACTGAAGAGAAACATTTGCCCTGAATGCAGACACCCTGGGGTCCATCGCCAGGGGGACACAGATTGGCTTTCAGTCTAGACAGCCCAGAGTCAAGAAAGCCCAGGAAGCTCTTCCCAAGGGAATGTCTCCTGAGTAGCTGGTTCTACCAACCAAGATAACACTGTCAAGTTCAAGCCAGCAGCCTCTTAGCAAAGACTCTCATCTTTAACTTAGCTAGGTGCTGGATTCAGCAGACATAGTTACTCTGGATAACTCATCATTAAAGTACCCGGATACTCATTATCCTTTGTCATTATACTTGTTCCTCTTGCTTATTTTAAACAATATAAAATATATAGATTTGGACAAAATTATTTCTGAAATATATTTTTATTTATAAAATAGCATGCATTAATTTTAACAATATATGTTTAATCTTATAATTATTTTATGTATACCCTATAATGTCATGTGAAAATTAAATTAGCTGACAAAAATCCTTTTACCATTTAGTACCACCAAAGGAGGAACTTGGTTAATCATTATTATTGCAAAGAATCCAAATAATTCATAGTTGACTTTAATCACTTACCTTCGTTGATTTTAACTTCTCGGGTTCTGTTTTTACAGCCTAAATTCAGAAAAAGAAAGAAAAAGGAAGGAAGGAAAAATGGACATCATTTCCAAAGTTTATTATAGATTTTATTCAACTAAGGAAGCTAAAAAGAGATGATTTTGATGTATTTACAAATGTAAACAGTATGAGTTAGGATTATTATATCTTACTTGGAATTGTAACTGTTTAGATAAACACTTAAGCACACAAATTAAGTCTGCTCTTATTATTTAGGTACCAATTTACACCTTACTTCTTCCTATGTGTATCAAAGACATGTGAAGATTTATCGCCACAAACACTGCAGCTAATACATAAGCATGAGAAAATAAAACCCCTCACCCTGTAAAGCCACCCAAGCAGGGTCAGTCCCTGCGTGTATGAAACACTCATCATAGGATTCAGCTGACAGGGAGAAGCGGTGAGATGGAGACAGAACCAAGGGCCCAGAAAGCAGTGATTTATTTTTAGTGCCAGAGTGTGGGCAATGGGTGATTCAGCCTCTCAGAAAGTCTGTGATGGGTCAGAGAGCTACAGAAGACGGTGAGCTGCAATTAGCGTGAGCTGAGCAGCCAAAGTGACCACACACGATGAACCACATCACCTGTTTTTTGTGTCTTTTCCTGTTAGGAGGATGCAGTCCTTTTACCTCTTTGCTGATTGGAATGGCCTAATGTAAGAGCACGGCCAAAGTGTGGTTTTATTTATCTGACAGTCAAACAAGTACCATGTTAAACAGGGCAAAAAGGTTTCTATCAAGACCCACTCTACTCATGTACTGCATTTACTCTATGCAGGTGGATATGACTCCAAGATGTTATAGGCACTTAAATGGTAAAGTCCTAAGCAAATATGCCACTTTGGGTTTACTCTTTTGGGTGAGAGAAAATCTGTAAGATTCCCATTAATAAAATTAACTTCAAATCCCTTTCCTTCCCCCTCTGCCTCTGTGTCAAGGCTGCTTGAGCAATACGTTTGGTTACGTTCAAAGGAAGAGTCACAGAAGTTGTCAGAACTTTTCTGTAATTTTGGTAACATGATCTTACAACAATTTTGTAAAGAGTTAGTGTATTCTTGTTTTACAATAAAAATCTAGAGATCTAATCTAAAGTCCTAAGAATACTTCTGAAGAGCTGGTAGTGATTTAGGATCTTCAGTGGAGTGTTCTACAGTTTTGCCCAACCAAAGGTGACCTGTGCCAAAAAATTCCTTAAATACACCCATGAATTCTCAGTATAGGCAAGAAAGAGAAACAGGAATAAAACATAGTTAAACATTTTATGAACTTTTCAAAGTAAGAGATTAAAAATTAGACCAAATGCTTCCTGTCATTTCCCTTTTATCTGTTTGGTGATATTAACACAAACTTTTATTTTTTATTCTATTATCTGAAAAGGGCAATGCCAAACGTTCCCATAATTTATCATGTCTCAGGTTTCAGTAATAAAGATATATATGTGCCTCAGAGAATGGGTCCTTGTGATGCTTGCACACTTCTGGCTCTGGGAAGAAAAACAGTTTATGATCAAATATTTTAAAGAAATTTTAAATTTTGGATCCTTTCAAACTGGACTCTTGTTAATGAGTTTCCATATGTGTTACTATGCTTTTCTGAGTTTATACAAATGTAATTTTTAACTGATTAATAAGGAAAATAATCAAGCTGGTATTGTAGTGGTTTCAGTTTATTAATAGCTTCTAATTTGGCCATTAAGATTTTGCCTAGAAGAACTCTAAAATACAATTAAGAATGTATACTGACAGATGCAAGCAGCTTATAACAAAATGTACATTTTAATCAGTAATCACTAAAACACTTCCTAAATTTATTTTTGGTGGATGCTGAACAAAATAATGATGACAATGATAACTAATGCTTATTGATCACCTGCTAGTATCAAGGACTATTCTAAAATTCACATTGCCAACTCCATCCCAGTAATAGTCCTGTGAGGCAGGTATCACCATCATCATTATCACCATCATCAAATCCCCATTTCACGGATAAGAAATTGAGGCACACAGAAGTTAAATAACTCCCTGAAGACACCCATGGTGTTCTCAATCAGTAAAGCTGTCTCTGCTGTACCTGCCTACTCCTACAGGGCATCAGCAGAAGTAAAGATTTTCTAAGCTTCCTAAGACAGGCACTGTCCAATATATATGCTTGTTTCCTTATACAGTCTTGTGACTATTATCATTTCCTCCAAACTGTACAGAAAAGGAGACCAAAGCAAAAAGGAGTTTTTCAACATCACAGCCGGCGTGGACCAGGAATCCAAGCAAGGCCAACTGGCTCCAGTGTCTACACCACATAATCCTCTTTAGGTAGCTCATCCTGATGATTTGATTAGAAATAATTTGACCTTCCACCTCATACACAGCAGTGTGACCACCAACTCTAATGTGCCAGGGGTGAGAGAGAGGGAGAACTGAAATCTAAACATATCACTCTCCCTTTAGAGCTAGACTGACTTTCATCTGAAAGGTGTGGAATGCGATAAGGAATTGGTGTAGGTATTATCTTAACATCTTTTCTCTAAAAGCTCAAAGTATTTTGGGAAATATGCTCATCAAGTTCACAAAAATCTCTAAGAGGAGGTCAGGAAAAATGTTATAATCCAAATATCAAATGCACACAAAAATGATGGAGAAAAGCGTGATTAAAATCCACTAAGGGAAGAGAATAAAGGCCAAAGATGGTCCTGAGTCAGCTGCTGGTGATACTCACCACTTGCATCTCATTTTTCTCTCCCTCTCTAATCTCTCCTACTCCTCTCCCCCCCTCCCTTCTTCCAGGTCCATAACTGTCAGGAATCTCATGTTTAATGCTTAGGAGTGGCTGAAGAGATTGCTGACACTTGCTCTGGAAAACGGGGCGCACGTGAAATAGGCATTGGTCCTAGAGCTGAGAGTTGGGAGATGGATTAGTACGAGGCAATGGGTTAAATGCAAACCGATATAACACAATGGAAATCCTTTCTCCCTGGCTCTCCTTTCTCTTTACTTTCTTAAGTTTTCATGGACTCTAAGGTCCATGAAAACTGTCTTTTGTGGATGTTTCTACTATAGTTTTAAGATTATTTTCAGACTGAGATGAGAGATTTTTAAATTTCCAAAGGTTAAACTCAGTATAAATAAGTAGTGACACCTAACAGATTAATTATGAATCTGAAAATGTACATTTTGAAAAGAAATTAATATAAATGTAAAATATTGAATAACAATTTTAGATTAAAAATAAATTTAAAAATTAAAATGACTTTTATAAGAGCTTAGATTCAGAGAGTGTCAATTCTTTCAAGATATTTGCAATGTCCCTTAAAAAACAGTTCAAGATGAGGCTATAGGATCCCTCAATAGGACTACATTACGGTGCAGTACTGAGTTTTGGTGTAGGATCCCACTGGGATAGAAAAATGGAGAAAACTGGGAAAGATTTTATTCCATTTTAGGAGACAGAAAGCAAAAAAATGTCAGGGATTTTAAACAAAGGCAACTTAATAATAATAGAGCTGGGTTAGCTCTTAGAGGCACTAAAGAATATTGTTTCATAAGTGTAGTTGAGAGCCTCTTGAAAAGACTTCCTGATTAAACCTCAACCCAAGAATATTCCCAAGAAACAGAGCTTGAGACATGGTAGCTAAGGGAGAGGGTTCAAGGCAACTTTGGCCAACTCTACAGGACATTCTTTTTTTTTCCTTTTGAAATTCCAAAAAATAATCATTACAATAAGTCCCAAACAGAGCTCAACAAAATTTTATCAATAATATGGTGCTCCACATGACTCAAATTTCAGAAAGAAAATTCAGAAAGCACTTGAAATAACCAGTATCTGTTGCACTTTTATGTTCACTTCATTTCTCAGTCTTATATTTAATATTAAATGACTATCATAATTAAATAATTATAGTAAGAAGTTAAGAATTTGTATTCTTATTTAGATTCAGAGAAATATACTTAGATTATGTTAGAAATAAAATCCTCTCTCATATCTAGGACCAAAAAGCAACAACAACAACAAAAAGACTCCAGATGACCTCTTTTCCAGATATTCTAAAATGATGCAGAAATGTATGGATGATGTTTGAGGTAAATATGGAAATGAATACTGAGTTTCCAATGATTCCCATAGACTCGGAAGAAAATGTTTACTTCTATAATATCAGCTTCCTACAACATACAAATTATCTGTCAGCTATTTGTCTACATTTGTTTTGCTTTACATGAATCAATTTAAAGGCATTCACCCAAGTTGACCTGGAAGACTCTTCATACCTTGGTTTCCGTGGGATTCATACTGGAAGGCTTGCTGGTTGATGCAGAGGAAGTGGACACCTAGGAAGGAAAGAAATAGAGAGTCTGATTCTAGTTAACCTATGACCTACTTCGTCCTTCAGCTCCTCTTACCCATACTTGCTCTTACTTAACTCTTTTTACCTCGTTTAGAGTACCATTCCCACAAAGTCCGGTAGATGGTTTTGCCCAACTGGTAAAACCTTTTGTAACCAGATCAAATGGTTCAAAGTTTGGATGCGCTACTTACTAAATAATCTTGGCAAGTTACTTAAATTTTCTGATGTTTGGTTTCCCCTTTCTCGATTGTTCTTCAATAGGTAAAAACTATGTTATAAGTTCATTATTGACTACTACCTAATGGCTCGGGAAATAATATTATAATTACTGTTTGTGCTCTTTTTTAAAAAAGCATGGACTTTGAAACTTAAATTTTGTTTAAATGCCAACTTTGTCAATTACTAGCTTTGTGACTTTGAGTCACAATACTTATATGTTATAAGTATTAACATATAAAATGGGGCCTAAAATGTCTATTTTGCAGGGTTGTATTTGAGATCATGTATGTAAAATATCTGGCACATTGTAGGTACTCATTAAATTGTTCATGCATTGTTCATAACATACAATACAAGATAGAAGGAACAGGACATAGCTCTAGGAAACAGTTGGAGAGACTAGAATTGTCTTTTCAGTATCATGTATGGAAGAGAAGTAGGGGGACAGCGTTGCAGAGGAAATACTGCTCTATTATCTGTCTCATCTAGGCTCCTCCCTGAAAGGCAAAAGGGGACGGGATGAATGGTCACTGAGACACCTTCCCTAGGGTGGTGGAATCAGCCCCCGTGATCTTATCACCCACATAGTGGGACGTGCATGTGATACATGCGTGGGATTGAGCACTACTGTGGGGACTGAGCACTATTCTGGTACATAGGTTGCAATACACTGGTTAATTCTAAATAGATAATTACTATCTTTGGAAGTTCAAACTCAGGCCCATTAAGTCTCCTTAATATTTGAGTCTGTTAGGTTTTGGAGCCCAGGGATTCCATGTGGCACAAGCTGCCTCCTGAAGTAACCAGCTGTCAGTAAACAGCTGCTGACATACCAGCAATACCCAGAACCCCGTCTCTGATGCCTGGCCCTGAGCCACCTCAGGCTGAGACCCAGGGCAGGATGAGCTCATCCTGCTGCCTCCGCACACACACTACCACTCCGGGCGACTGTATGAACCCACCACAACCCATGGCCCATGAACAAAATCACCTTCCCCACAGACCTCACTTGATGCAGAACATATTGGTTACATGTCAAATTACAGTTTACAGATAAATGCCCAAAGTTTTAATATACTAGTTTTTCAACATTGTTGTATGAGTTTTCCTGAGTGCTATCAGGCATCAGTTGAGCAACCCTCCACTCCAACACACATGTGCACATGGTCCTGTAGCAGGGCACAGGGTGGTGTCTCTCACATTTTCTTTGGGGTAAAGAACTGGAAGATGAACCAAGATAAATCCCCCCATTGAATTAACCGACAAATAAATGTATATTCATTTTTCCTTGAGGATTTTTTAATTTGTGGGTATTAACATTCCCTTATGTTTATAATTCTGTCCTTCCACAATTAAAACTGGTTGAACAAACTTCCATTCAAACTCGAGAAGTCCCGCTTTGCTCTATCTCACCCCTTCAGTGAATTCTCTGAGACACAGAAAACAACCAAATACCAAACTCTCCACCTGAAGTGCTTTTTAAGCTGCAAATCTTCAAGTAAACATCAATATATTTTCTAAAGATCCAAATTTATTAAAACATCTTTCAAATCCCTGGCATTTCCAACCTGCCTTACCGCTTTATTGAGCAATAGCTGGACGTAATCCTCTATTCCTAGAAAAAAGCCCCCCAACAACAGTTAAATCTACAAGGAGTAGCTATAACTACCATGGGAATTTAGCTGAAGGCCTTGGCCCCATCTGCTTTCAGCCGAGATCTTCCATGGAAGTTTGATCCCGTCGCTAAGGCACTAACCATTTTGAAATGGATATAGACAAGCTACTTCACTGGGTCTGGAAATAAGGAAGGCAAGCCCTCCCCACTGTGAATTCATTCAACTCCAGCCAGCTGTTGTTTGTTCAATGTTTCTTCTGTCTGTAAAGACAAGGAACTCAATACTTTTTTTCTCTAGTGAAGGATTGAATATACTTTCATTTTAAATCTTCTGTGCTGTTTGAATTTCTAATCATGGGTGTGAATAACTTATAATTTCAAAACTTTTGAAGAGTGAATTCACACATAGGTAGTACCAGGTACTATATTTGGTGATGAGAACACAGCGGCGAAACCAGTAAGTCACCATCCTTGGGAAAGTTACTGCCTCATCAGAGAGCACATTAACAGAATAATCACTTCAAAGATTACTTGTGGTAAGTGCTCAAAAGGGTCCCACAAGAACATGGACTGGACAACCAGAGTTAGTTCAGGAGACAGCTGAGACAGTGATGCTGAGGAAGTGACAGTTAATGTGGTCATTTAGGGATAAGGAGGCGTCACGCAGGCAAAAGGCCAGGGGGCACCCTCTGAGCTGCGGTGCGGGTGCTGATGCTGGGACCTAGGCTGCCTGAGTTCTAAACCAGTGACTCTGCTGCAGGGCCTCGTACTCGGCCAGTCCTGTTAACATAAAAAGGCAGCCTATTTTAAAACATAACCATCAGCATTCATAACATAAGAAAATATCTCTATTGGGATTAGAGCTGTAAATCAGACAGAATTGCAGCTCTAATAACACTTCCCTTCCTAAATGACCCGTACAGGTCTCTTAATACCCAGAGTATTGTTAGTAATTTATAAACTTGAATTAAGGCATAAATCAGAGTAACAAAGACCAGAAAAACTAACTTCTGTAATTTTTCTCCATTTACCCACCCATTTGACAATTGCTATTTAAAAGGCAATGAGGGATCTCAGGTCAAGAAGGAAGTGTAGGTAAACACAGCTCACCTCCTTGCACAACCACAGCAAAGATTACAAGTAAACTACAAAACAATTATCACCCAGAATCATCAGAAGATGGAGCTATATGGAAGTCTGACAACCAAGGAATTAAGGAAGCCACATTCATCCAGAGGGGTAGGAGGGGCAGAGGCACATGGAGAATGGAGGTGCACAATGGGCAGTCCCACGCCCATCTGTGGTGGATTAAAATCTGGAGGGATACCTCAGGAGCCAGGGACCCCAGCCTCACACTGGACCACCCAATCCTGAGGTCCAGTACCAGGAAGATAAGTCCCTATAACTTCTGGCTGTAAAAACCAGTGGGGGTTGGGGCGGCAGAACAAATTGTGGGATTCTCAGGAGCCTCCTCTTACAGGGCCTGCAATGGACTTAGGACTTACACAGACTCAATCTCTCTGGGCTCCAACACTGGGGCGGCAGCTGGAAGGGCACCAGTGACATATGCGGAGAAACTGAAGTGCCAGGGAAGTGCCGGGGGACAGCTTCCTCCTGGACAATAGTCCAGAGGCCAGGCAGCAGTCATTGTCCCTTTTCTGAGCCCTCCCCCACACAGAGCCACAGAGCAGCAACACCATATCAGAGACTCCATCAACCTTGGTTCACACAGGTTGCCCCACCCTGGTGATTACCTAAGGCTCTGCCCCATCTAACTTACGGATGTACTTTTCTATAATAGGCCATGTTACTAAGACAAGGAATCAAAGCAGCACTACCTAATACATAGAAACAAACACGGGGAAGCTGCCAAAATGAGGAGACAAAGAAATATGGCCCAAATGAAAGAACAGATCAAAACCCTAGGAAAAAGAACTAAACAAAATGGAGATAAGCAGTCTATCAGACAAGGAGTTCAGAACACCGGTTATTAGGATGCAGAAGGAACTCATTGGGTATTTAACGGCGTAAAAAAGACCCAGGCAGAAAGGAAGGTTCTTTTTTTACACTAACTGAAATAAAGAAAAATTTACAGGGAACCAACAGTGGAGTGGATGAAGCTGAGAATTAAATCAATGATTTGAAACATAAGGAAGAAAAGAACATTCAACTAGGACAAAAGAATCCAAAAATTGAGGCTAGGCTAAGGAGCCTCTGGGATATATTCAAATGTACCAACATCCAAATGATAGGGAGGCCAGAAGGAGAAGTGAAAGAGCAAGTAATTGAAAACTTATTTGAAAAAATAATGAAAGAAAACTTCCCTAATTTGGTGAAGGAAATAGGCATGCAAGTCCAGGAAGCACAGAGAATCCCAAACAAGTTGGACCCAAAGAGTACCACACCAAGACACATCATAATTAAAATGCCAAAGGTTAAAGATAAAGAGAGAATCTTAAAAGCAGCGAGAGAAAAGCAGATAGTTACCTACAAATGAGTTCCCATAATATCTCAGCTGTTTTCTCAAAAGAAACTTTGCAGGCTAGAAGGGACTGGCAAGAAGTATTCAAAATGATGAAAAGCAAGGACCTGCAACCTAGATAGTGCTTCATCAGAGTGCACTGTAAAGTGCTTCCTAGACAAGGTAAAGCTAAAGGAGTTCATCATCACCAAACCATTATTACATGAAATGTTAAAGGGACTTATTTAAGAAAAAGATAAAGACTATGAATGTAAAAAATGACAACAGATCCATAACTATCAACAATTGAATCTAAAAAACAAAGTAAGCAAACAAGTAGAACAGAAACAGAATCATAGATATGTAAATCATTTGGAGGGTTATCAGTTGGGAGGGGAAAGGGAAAAGGTACAGGGATTACAATGTACAAATTGGTAGGTACAGAATAGATGGGGGCATGTTAAGAAGAGCAAGGGAAATGGAGTAGCCAAAGAACTTATATACATGACCCATGGACATGAACTAAGGGGAAGGATTGCTGGAGGGAATGAGGGGGTCCCAGGTGGAGGGGGGCAATGGGGAAAAAATTGGGACAACCATAAAAGCATAATTAATAAAATGTATTTAAAAATAAAAATAAAAGGCAATGAGCTGGTGCGGAGGATACACAATGAATTAAGACAATATC